TCCGTCCGTTTGTGAAAATTTGGTCTCTCTGCTAAGTATTTTAATGAATTGAATTATTCTGCGAGTATAAATAATTATATCATTACATAATAGAAACTGCATTTTGGTTTCTATATTGTCCATATATGTATTTTGACATCCACATAAGTTTATAAAATCGTTCGGGTTTTTTGCTGGTGCTTTGCTTTAAATGTTGTTTTTCATTAAAAATCTCTAATTATTAACAAATGAATGTTATAATAATTGACAACGACTTATAATTTCAAACCTACAGTTAATAATTGATTTTGACACCTTTGAACAGTAATGATGACATAAACCAATTTGTATAGAAGAATGTATGAACTTGGCATGGTGTATGTGTCGTTATAAAACGGTGAATCAGAGGGATGGGATGTAAAAGCTGCCGAAGATATCAATATTTTGACAATTTGATGACTGATGTACGCACGAGAATATTTATTTAGTACTAACAAGTGATCAACCTGCCCAAAATCGACTCCTTGTACACTCGCAATGGTGTCAAAATACGAGAGAAAAAACTACTTGTCAACCACCGTGATAGTGATAGTGTATGGTAATTGGTTGCCCCGGGCAACGCCGTATTTTTTAAGTGAATAACAATGGCTAGACTTATATTCTTTCCAACATTGTGTTGAAAGTATATGTACACGTGTTAAAATCTGTTTTCAATGGTTCCTTTTTGTGCTTGAATAATGCACTGGGAAATAGCTTGACTTTTCCTTCTCAGCAGTGTTTATAACAATATAAGTAATATTCAGAATGTCAACATAACCTCGATATACGATTGTCATCATTGACAACAATTACAAAAATAAAAGCTGGTCAAAAGCAGATCAGCTGCTTACAGCTTTCATCGCGATCCTTGTTATCTCCGCACAGATTATATGAACCATATGCTATATGATATTCAAAATTAAAACATCTCAATGCTCAAATAAATTCATCAGTAATAAATTTACGAGTTCTTTCACGTACGTTTAACCGTTCAATTAGCATTTTCAACCCAAAGCATCACCACCAACCAGTGATACAAGGAAGAATACCGAGGGAAATATTTCCTAATTGACACGCAATTTGATGTAAAAACAGATCTGACATTGATCAATCTTTGTTAAACCGAAAGCTGAAGTTACAAAACCTGAATAAATTAACATATTGTTGTATTGTAACAATGACAGTTATTGTACGTCATTCCGGTAAGAAAAGGGAAATGAGTTGTCATTAAAGACAATTATTAAGGCTATGCTAGAATTTCTAATGTGGTTAAAATAAAGTTGTATATCTTTCTGTTTATAATATTTATAATATACTTGTGCAAGCAAAAGTGCGTAATGAACTTGTCTGTTGGATTAATAAAATAATAACATATGTTTATAATCAGTATTATTATAATTATGGGAGTCAAAGATTAACTTTCTATTTCAAAACAATCTGACAAAATTGCATGCAATTCGTGTTGAAACAGTTATCCTGGTTCAGCAATTATATTTTTTAACTTTTCCATTTCTCATCATCATCAATAAAGGTAACATCAAAAGTTTACATTGAATATATAAGTTCTCATGGAGAAATAAGGAATAGTTACTAGTATATTATTAAACCCAACAGCTGAAGGTTTGAAACTGAAATTGTCTTCTTTACTAAAATGCCCATTTGTACACAATGCATAATACAGTTACTTTACTATTTCAATAATAGAATAAGAAGCAGGTATATAAAAATATCATAAGTTTTAAGGTACAACATTTATGAACAAATTATTTATATACACTGATTATCTTTTATGCGTAGTTTTGTACAGTGAAATCTATTTTATTTTCAGTTAATTCATGTTGCTTAACACCAAGAATCAAAAGTTCTTAAGAAAAATATTTTCCGACTTCTTGTCTTAAAGATGTCTACAGAATTTTTATTTTTCAAATGTATAGGCCTTCACCTCCAGACCCGAATGATCCTACACGCGTAGATACTTTCTCAACAAATATTTTACATTATATTTAAAGGGTGTTCTTTGGCTTCGTAGTTTATCAAAAATGTTTGTTCCTTAGCAGTAGATTTTAATATAGACTGGACAGATTATATGTAAAATTTTGAGATTGATATGCTAGTCTATATACATGTATAACTTCAGCATTCGACGTTTTGTCTTCTTCAGAAAAAAGACGTATATAAAAATGTTAGTCTACAAATTTCACGGTGGGGAATCACGTGACTTTGTATAGTAATACCCACGATAAAATGGCGACTGATGAGCCCCGGTAAGTACCTTATTATGTTACATTAAGGTGGCAAACGTTTCTTAAATCAAAACAAAACCTAGCGTATCATATGCGCGGTAATTTTCTTCAAATGACAATACAAAGTGCATTATCATACGTTTTGTGGTTTTTGAGAACATTGTTTGAATTGTGTGAAAATTGCACATTCAGCGATAGTAATTCGCACGAAGCGATATAATTTTGTACCAAAATAAATGTAAATAAGCTTTCTTTTTTGCACCGAAGACACTAAATCAATCGTTTTATTGACATATGTTCTTGTAGAATTCCATATAAAATTTTGTTCGAAGGTCTGTAGCCTACAAATGTTCTTTGCCAGTGTTTAGTAAGTAAAACGAACAATATTTGGATAGTAAGTCGCACGAAAACAAAATAGTAAGTTTCACGCACAGTTTCCAATAGCTCACTAAAATGTGACGAATCTATTTTATAATTATTTTGTTTACCAATTTGCAAGTGTGTTCCGTGTACGCGGTGACAGAGAAACAAATATCGAGAAAGTATTTTTATAATAATTCATATTATTTCATAATACATGTATTCATATAATTTCATAAATTATTACTTAACTTAGAAAAAAATAAACGAGACATTGACATTGATACTCAACAATATACGTTCCACGTGGCCCTTTTTCACGTTAGATCGGATCCGCATCCGTCATCTGTAGAAGAAATAACTGTGCAGAAGGAAATATTACAACACTATTATTTACTTTTCAGTATCTGCAATTTGGACCAAAAAAGCAAAGGAGAGGACATTCGCCATATCACATTGATATTTAATGACATCATAGAACTGGTATACAAAGTTTTATTGAATTTATTCTTTTATACCATTACAGAATTTATAAATATTGTTAAAACGTTATGTATTACCATACGCTTATTTTCTTACCTTGTGCAAATGTGTTGCTCGTAAACTCTTACTTTTTGTTTGTGATAGAGTAAGTAAATAAGATATTTAGGGCGTCCATGGCCGAGCGGTTAAAATCCATTATTTTTATACATTTGCTTCTCACCGCTATGGATTCTAGTCACCCCAGCGTCCTTGAATTCTTTCATCAAACTAGCTAACAAAACGTCAGTGCTTTAACTCACTCGTGACATTGACAGTATGATTTGAAACCCAGCATCTAAAATTGTTTTATGTAAATATTTTTTTCTTCACTTTAAAAAGTACAAATATCTTTGACCGTTTGATTTCAAATATTCGTTTTCCTTTAAAGGCCCATTATATGCCTCGGAAATGCTATCATTTTTAATTTTTTTAAAAATCTTTGGTATTTTGTTACAGTTTCCGAAAACATACTCATTTGCTAGATACTCAAACAAAGTTTTGCATCTTTGGTTCTGTTGGCAATTGGTATACCTTTAGTGAATAATTATTTTGTATGGAAGTCAAAATACTACTTTGTTTACATTTTGCTACCTTTAGGACACATCACTTAATGTTCAGCGCTACTTTTTTCAGTTGCAATAAAATACTTTCATGCGTTTTATCCATTATCTAAACATTATCAAACACATGTTTGACATTTCTAAAGAATTAAAACAATATGGATTTCTAAAGCACAATGCGCCTTTAATCACAACTTGAATCAGTGTATCATTGTTGTTTTGTTGTTGTTGTTGTTGTTGTTGTTGGTGGTGGTGGTGGTATTTTTTTTATTTTTTTTTGTAAGAAGTTATTTTGTTCTTGCGAATTCTTTAATATATTTTCATAAATTAAGTAACAAAGTGACTAAATGTAACAAATACCGACATATAAAAACATCAGCATTCAGTTAATAAACATCACCATACCAAATAGCAAGTAATCATATTTGTTCATCTTTTTTTCTAATTACAGTAAAATGAGAGCCAAGACACACCTGACACTGCAGAGGTCAAAGAACTACTATCGCAACAGAAAAATAACTCAGATATCAAATCCCACCAAAAGTTAATTTGATATATTATAAAAACAACCAATTGAGCATTCGTCCTATAGACAAAAAGTGAAATATTTGATCTTGAATAATTGAAATATGTATTTTCTATCTCTTTACATATGAACTTTAACTTTCTTTTAATGTATATGTATGCTATTGGAAACTGTGCATGAGACTTACTATTTTGTTTTCGTGCAACTTACTATCCAGAAATTGTTCGTTTTACTTACTAAACACTGGCAAAGAACATTTGTAGGCTACAGACCTTCGAAAATATATTTTGTATGGACTTCTACAAGTACAGGTGTCAATAAAATGATTGATTTGTTGTCTTAAGAGCAGAAAGAAAGCTTATTTTCATTTATTTGGTACCAAATTATATCGCTTCGTGCGAATTACTATCGCTGAATGTGCAATTTTCACACAATTCAAACAATGTTCTCAAAACCCACAAAACGTATGATAATGCACTTTGTATTGTCATTCGAAGAAAATTACCGCGCATATGATACGCTAGGTTTTGTTTTGATTTAAGAAACGTTTGCCACCTTAATTTAACATAATAAGGTACTTACCGGGGCTCATCAGTCGCCATTTTATCGTTGGTATTACTATACAAAGTCACGTGATTCCCCACCGTGAAATTTGCGTAAGGGTCTCTCTTTAATAAATCGCAAATGTAAACATGTGCTAAATTGTTTGAGTTTTCTACAACAAGATCAACAACAAAAAGCAAGCGAAAAAATACGTAGATAAATACATACCTTTGTTAAAGTTGCCAATATTATGCTGAATAATTTAATATCCATTTTTAATACAAAATTTCCAATTAATAACCTCCTTCACAACAATAACTAGCAATAATCAACTACAAGATAATTGTTTTCAAACATTCATTGATATGTTGATATCCGCATGAAATAATTTTGTAAAATGAGGTCCGCACTTTCTTAATAATTAACAAATCTTTAACGTATTCCAACTAATTAATGGAACATTAAACGTGCAATTCATGTATCAAAGAGGATTGTTCAACATAATCCATCAAACTAACGTGTGTAATAATGCAGGCCTTTATTAAATGACTGCACGGTTTTCATAGAAATAAGGTAAAGAAAGTGATTAATTGTCAAAGGTAAATATACGAACAACGGCGCATTCTACCGTGACCGGTCTGTTCAGACTTTAAGCTGTAGCTTCTTGTGTTGAACACCGCTAAATGTAAGGTAAAACGGTGATCCTTGTCTACGTTTACATTGTTACTATACATAATTTAATAAGAGTTGTCTTTCTTTCCGTACTTATGCATGCTCAAAGACAATAATATTATCAAATAGAGAAAAAAATCCCTAAAGAAAGCCAAACACGACAATATTGAAAATGTTGCAGGCTCTGTTTGTTTGAGCCTATTCATGCACGGTACTGGAAAGTGCAAGTTACCGTAGCAACGGCTTAAGTAGAAGTCAACATTAAAAAAAAATTAAATTCAGAAACATCCGCAGATGTGTTCAAGCGGTGGTTATCTTGGAAGCTTCAATGTGACTCAAAAGTGACATCCATGAAAAGCGGGGTATGGTCCCCAGGTAAAACAAAAACATACTTAAATCATTTCTCTAATATCGTTAATCAGGTTTTTTTCTGAATAGATCTCCTCTTACACGCCACTTTATGTAACCTGCTCTACTGTTTCAAATGCATTAAAAAGTACAATTAATGCCAAAAAAAACGCAATTAACACGTTGCAAACGGCTTAGAAACTGCGAAAATAATCCCTAAGATATCTGCAAGTACAGGATTTATTATATATTATATATTCCAACAAAAACAAAGACAAACCCAATTATGCCAACTCAATCAGATTGAATAGTGTAAAGAGGTGATTGAATGAACGGGATGTGATTTTATGTTTTTCGTTAACAATGTCCTTTTCTGTTTTTTTCACGTTCGTTTATTTTTTTTATATGTATATTTTTGGTGTCGGAAATGAAGGACTTTAAAATGAGACATTGATAACTAAGTCTACGATTAATTTAATTATATTGAATCTGGTGTCTTTTTTTTGGTTGGATTTTAAATTTGGTGACTTGCCAATTTTACAGGTGGAGAAGCACCTCAGATGCATAACGAGCATGAGCAGGTTCTAAAGTAGGTAGTAGTTTCACGGTATTTCTTGTTCTCAATTGAAATACGAGTATACATGTATATGTTAAAATGATAAGATGCATAGCACTGATTAAAAAAGAAGTTGCCTTTTCCTATCTTAAGACTGACCCCAGACAGATTTATACAAGTTTGTTTTAATATCCAATATTCTTTATTGTGTATGTTCTAATTTTCCCTCACATTTTTATGATGCACTGTCAGTTTACTGTTTTTATTATTAAAAGTATTCAAAACTCATTCCCGAATAAGGTCGGTCTTGTTCCGAGAATTAAAGTTAGATGTTGTTTTTCATCGGTGATATAGATTTATGATAACTACTTTCAATTTTCATTTATTTCTTTATTTTATATTATAAATTATTAAGACATAAAAAATGTAAATACCAAACAATAACAAAGATTGAAACTCTTCGATCATTTATGACATCGACATCAGTTTAGTCTGAAAAGAAAAACATGAAAAATGAAAAAAATATATGTTTGTTAAGTATTTTCATACACAATTTAGATAATAATCACATGTAATCGAGACTCCAGATTGATAAAAATATTTAAAAAAATAATGTTAAAAGACGGCAAAATCATACAACAATTAAAACATTTATTTGGTTATAGTGACTGGGTATAAAAGTATGCCTATATCGGGTTATTATTCAGACAATACAATAGAGATGGTACTAGTCGAGATAAACATACTAATAGACTTGTTAGAAGATGATGTGAACATAGATAAGTTCAGTTTCCTATGTACATAAAATAAGCAATTCAATTGCAGCTCTGCCACATATCTTATTCATTAACGAACAACGATATTATAAGTTCATTGACAGGCAATCGTATTGCAAATTCACCGTGAGACAATTGTTTTTCTATGTTTATTAAGGGACAACGGAATTGTAAGTTTATTCAGTGACAACGGTTTTCCAAGGTTTTTCAGGGACAGCGATATTGTCAGTTTATTGAGTGACAACGGTGTTGTAAGTTTATTCAAGGACAACGGTTATGTAGGTTTATTGAGAGACATCAGTTTTTTTTAAAGTTTATTCGTGAACAAAGTTTTGTAAGTTTACTCTGAAATAGCGGAATTGTATGTACCGGTATTTCAATGCAGTTGCGGTATTAAATTAAAGTTATAAACGTTAATCACGTTGCAATTTTTATAAGTTGTCTGAGTAAAATAATTTACTCATCGGCACGACAACATCTTTCAGCTTTGGTTATTTTTGCATATGATTTAATTAACAAGTTTATCTGTATTTTGTTTGCATCGTCTTATAGGTGGACATGTGAGTTGATAAGTTCAATAAAATTCTAACTCAATTTCATCACTATCCATTCATTTTCCTTTATTCATAACAATGGGTCTGAAAAAATTTGAACACTTACTATGTGGGACATGACAGTTACAATGACCATGTTCCATGTTAGGATCATGAATTTCACAGTGAGGGGCTCCATGATGACATGTGTGACTTGCGCAATCTGGATCTGTCTTACATGTTTCTGCTTGTCTCTCTGAAAACAGATTAGCTAAATGAACAATAATGTTAAGGGATAACTGAAGACTGACGAATGTTCTTTCAACTAAACCTATATGTGTTTAAAATTACAAAGTCATTGTTAATCTTGTTAGATGATATTTCAAAAAGCAACCAACACAGTTTGATCAATACGTAACAAAGAGCGTTGAATATGCTCTATTTATACTGTGTGGGTCTAAGTTTCATTGCATACAGACGCACACAAAAACAACAACAAAAACCGTACCACTATTTTTACAAGTGAAACGAAATTGGCTAAATGTAAAAAAAAACATAGATATAAATTTTTATGTGTTCTTCTTTGCATTTTCATTTAACAACATATCATAGTTCAATAACAATTTGCACGTTTTTTGCAGAACATAAAGATGTTTTCAGTTTCAGTTAAATGAAAGATATTGTTCCATTATAACTTATTAAGATGTCTGAAGGGTTATATGGGTAAGTAAATACGGTGGTAAGGTACTAGGCAAGGGTTATATTGCAAACAACCATAATACACGGCGGCAATATAACATGCCAAACATCTTAAAATCAAAGAAATAATTTATTTCAGTGAAAACAAAAGTTATTTGTATATATTTATCAAATAAACGTCATGACTATATCCAGTGAAAAGCTGCGTTACAAACGTGCAGTATTTACAGGTACACCGTTTCTAATGTTAAAACAATCTAAAAGTCAAGGGAGAGTTTTAATAGTTAGCTTTTAGTAACATAACAGCGGCGATTATCGAAATCAAAGAAAAACATATAGTATTGTGTTAATCATTCAATAGATACATGTATGTATTCAAGGGTCCTTTAGCAAATATAACACCTATCAATATTAAAGTATATATGGGAAGGATAAACACTTACTATGTGGGACGTGACAGTTACAATGTCCATGTTCCATGTTAGGATCATGGATCTCACAGTGAGGGGCTCCATGATGACATGTGTGGCTTGCGCAATCTACATCTGTCTTACATGTTTCTGCTTGTCTGTCTGAAATTGATGTGAAGATATAAAAATGGCATGTTTCGAAAAAATGTTGACTAAAACGTGAAATTAAATGTCTCTGTTTTGTCATTTGTTGGAACAATATATGCTAAGCCTTCTGGGTTTTATAAATAAGCATGTTTGTTTTCATAATTTGTAATTTCATAAAGATCCTATTTATTCTACAAAAAACAATCCCTAAATCAATGATTGATTATTAAACTAGCGATGATGCTTTAACTATCTCGATGCGAACTATCCATCGTTAATTAAAAATCATGTTTTAATCTGAAGTACTTTGATAAATGTAACACCTTGCAAAATTGAATAACATATGCATTAAATGAATACGTACTATGTGGAACGTGACAGTTGCAATGTCCATGTTGATTATTAGGATCATGAATTTCGCAATGAGGGGACCCATGATGACATGTGTGATTTGCGCAATCGGCTTCTACTGTGCAAGTTTCTGCTGCCCTAACTGAAATCATTTGTCTTCACGTAAAATGGCATAACGAAAGTAATATCAACTTGGTTATGCGTCATTAAATGTATATGTTTTGTAATTTCATTTTACACCATGTTGGGTTAACGTTTTGGAAGGTTGATGTTTTATAAATGTTTTCTAAGTTGCCATCGGAATTCTGCACGTGTTTTAGAACCATGAGAGCCATTTTATGTATGAGGCCAATACACGATATATTGTATTGCTAAATACAAAGGGTACATTTTTAAAGCAATCAAAAACTTCAAAGGAAATGCAAATCATATATCGTCTGACCAGTAATTATAGTAAGAAAAAAATTCAAACACATATATTTGTGTAATATCTTAAAATATCTTTAGGTCTTTAAATGTCTTTTCATGAATAAACACTTACCATGTGGGACGTGACAGTTACAATGTCCATGTTCCATGTTAGGATCATGGATCTCACAGTGAGGGGCTCCATGATGGCATGTGTGACTTGCGCAATCTACATCTGTCTTACATGTTTCTGCTTGTCTCGCTGAAATCATATAGTGTTAATGTAAAATGACCTACACGTATAAAAGAAGGGTTATTATGTTAAATGATATATTACATGAACTTTACTTTCAAGGAAAACTGCATCTGTAAAAAAGTTTAATGAGGTTACGCCTTTCCTAATGTTTAAACCAACTTAAGGTCTCGAGACAGTGCTTATTTGTTGACTTTTAGATAATAAGAGGAAATTATTTCCATCAAAATCAGAATTCCTATCTTTTGTTAATGTTTTTATAAAAATGCCTGTATTTAATCCAGAGTCCTTAAGTGCAAAAGTGGATTAAATATGCGTAATTAAAACACTTACTATGTGGGACATGACAGTTACAATGACCATGTTCCATGTTAGGATCATGAACCTCACAGTGAGGGGCTCCATGATGACATGTGTGACCTGCGCAATCTGCATCTGTCTTACATGTTTCTGCTTGTCTCGCTGAAATAGATGCTGACATGTAAAAATGACATGCTTAAAAATGACGAATAAAACATGAAATAAAGTTTGTTCTGTTTTGACTTTTGATTCAACAATATAGGCTAAGCCTTCTGAAATTAAACAATTAGCATGTTTTGTTTTCATAATTTGTTGCATTCATTCTACAAAAAAAAACAATCTGATTATTAAACTAGCCATGATACTTAAACTAGCTCGATGCGAACTATCCATAGTTTGTTTAGTGAATATCGTATGTGTAAAAAATCACTTAAGATTTTTTAAAATTCGTAAGCAAATATTTAACGATTTTTTTATATTATAAACATATGGGAAGTCACAGGAGAAAAGTTGTAATACATTTATTTTACTAAGAAAAAAAAGAGTCATTGAGGCTTTTAATTAGCAACATGTAAAGATAATGCCTACATTTAAAAATCTATTCATACATTTGATAAAACACTGAAATTATCAATTTAAGTTAAAGGTCTGATACCAAAACTACCACTTTATGTAATGAAATGTGATTGGCCAGTCTAAATATTTATATGTGGAACATGACAGATGCAATGTCCGTTTTAATTATTATGATTATGAATTTCGCAATGAGGAGACCCATGACGACACGTGTCATTTGTGTTATCGGCTACTGTTGTGCAAGTTTCTGTTGCCCTATCTGGAATCATTTCTCTTCACGTAAAATGACAAAAAAATGTAATATCAACTTGTAAATGCGACATTGAATGTAAAATATTCTGGAAGCAAAGTGATCCCTCGGAAGCATTAATCACAACAAAATTACATGAAAATTGCAAACTCGGTTTGATTGAGTCTGAACATGAGGGATAATGAATAAGTGCAACATCCCTCACGCCCCTGGCACCGGCTTGAGCGGTACTCAATTCTCAACACTTCATAGTGCTGGCATTAATGATCCCGAAGTTTTGTGATTTCATTTTAGAACATGTTGGGTAAACTTTGAGAAAGGTTGATGTTTTTATAAATTTTTATAAATGTTTTTTTATAGATTGTTCAAAGTTGTCATCGGGAGACTGCATGTGTTTCAGAACCAGAGGCCATTTTATGTATAAGGCCAATACACGATACATTGTATTGCTAAATACATTTTTAAACCATCATAAACGTCAAAGGAAATGCAGTCATCAGTAATTATCGTAAGACAAAAATTCAAACACATATATGTGTGTAATATTTTTAAATATCTAAAGGTGGTTAAATGTTTTTTTTTACGAGCAAACACTTACTGTGTGGGACGTGACAATTACAATGTCCATGTTCCATGTTAGGATCATGGATCTCACAATGAGGGGCTCCATGATGGCATGTGTGACTTGCGCAATCTACATCTGTCTTACATGTTTCTGCTTGTCTCGCTGAAATCATATAGTGTTAATGTAAAATGACCTACACGTATAAAAGAAGGGTTATTATATTAAATGATATATATTAAATGAACTTTACTTTCAAGGAAAACTGCGTCTGTAAAAAAGTTAAATTAGGTGTTTAATGTTTAAACCAACTTAAGGTCTCGAAACAGTGCTTATTTGTTGACTATTAGATAATAAGGGGAAATTATTTCCATCAAAATCAGAATTCAAATCTTTGTGTATTTTTTTTAATAATTTCATGTATTTAATCTAGAGTCCTTAAGTATTGCAAAAGTGCTTTACAAATGCGTAATTAAAACACTTACTATGTGGGACGTGACAGTTACAATGACCATGTTCCATGTTAGGATCATGAACCTCACAGTGGGGGGCTCCATGATGACATGTGTGACCAGCGCAATCTGCATCTGTCTTACATGTTTCTGCTTGTCTCGCTGAAAAAGATGTTGAAATGTAAAAATGACATGCTTAAAAATGCTAAATATAACATGAAATAAAGTTTGTTCTGTTTTGACTTTTGATTCAAGAATATAGGCTAAGCCTTCTGAATTTAATCAATTAGCATGTTTTGTTTTCATAATTTGTTGCATTCATTCTACAAAAAAACAATCTGATTATTAAACTAGCCATGATGCTTAAACTAACTCGATGCGAACTATCCATAGTTTGTTTAGTGAATATCGTATGTGTAAAAATCACTTAAGATTTTTTAAAATTCGTAAGCAAATATTTAACGATTTTTTTTATATTATAAACATATGGGACGTAACAGGAGAAAAGTTGTAATACATTTATTTTACTAAGAAAAAAAAGAGTCATTGAGGCTTTTAATTAGCAACATGTAAAGATAATGCCTACATTTAAAAATCAATTCATACATTTGAGAAAACACTGAAATTATCAATTTAAGTTAAAGGTCTGATACCAAAACTACCACTTTATGTAATGAAATGTGATTGGCCAGTCTAAATATTTATATGTGGAACATGACAGATGCAATGTCCGTTTTAATTATTATGATTATGAATTTCGCAATGAGGAGACCCATGACGACACGTGTCATTTGTGTTATCGGCTACTGTTGTGCAAGTTTCTGTTGCCCTATCTGGAATCATTTCTCTTCACGTAAAATGACAAAAAGAATGTAATATCAACTTGTAAATGCGACATTGAATGTAAAATATTCTGGAAGCAAAGTGATCCCTCGGAAGCATTAATCACAACAAAATTACATGAAAATTGCAACCTCGGTTTGATTGAGTCTGAACATGAGGGATAATGAATAAGTGCAACATCCCTCACGCCCCTGGCACCGGCTTGAGCGGTACTCAATTCTCAACACTTCATAGTGCTGGCATTAATGATCCCGAAGTTTTGTGATTTCATTTTAGAACATGTTGGGTAAACTTTGAGAAAGGTTGATGTTTTTATAAATTTTTATAAATGTTTTTTTATAGATTGTTCAAAGTTGTCATCGGGAGACTGCATGTGTTTCAGAACCAGAGGCCATTTTATGTATAAGGCCAATACACGATACATTGTATTGCTAAATACATTTTTAAACCATCATAAACGTCAAAGGAAATGCAGTCATCAGTAATTATCGTAAGACAAAAATTCAAACATATATATGTGTGTAATATTTTTAAATATCTAAAGGTGGTTAAATGTTTTTTTTACGAGCAAACACTTACTGTGTGGGACGTGACAATTACAATGTCCATGTTCCATGTTAGGATCATGGATCTCACAATGAGGGGCTCCATGATGGCATGTGTGACTTGCGCAATCTACATCTGTCTTACATGTTTCTGCTTGTCTCGCTGAAATCATATAGTGTTAATGTAAAATGACCTACACGTATAAAAGAAGGGTTATTATATTAAATGATATATATTAAATGAACTTTACTTTCAAGGAAAACTGCGTCTGTAAAAAAGTTAAATTAGGTGTTTAATGTTTAAACCAACTTAAGGTCTCGAAACAGTGCTTATTTGTTGACTATTAGATAATAAGGGGAAATTATTTCCATCAAAATCAGAATTCAAATCTTTGTGTATTTTTTTTAATAATTTCATGTATTTAATCTAGAGTCCTTAAGCATTGCAAAAGTGCTTTACAAATGCGTAATTAAAACACTTACTATGTGGGACGTGACAGTTACAATGACCATGTTCCATGTTAGGATCATGAACCTCACAGTGAGGGGCTCCATGATGACATGTGTGACCTGCGCAATCAGCATCTGTCTTACATGTTTCTGCTTGTCTCGCTGAAATAGATGCTGACATGTAAAAATGACATGCTTAAAAATGCTGAATATAACATGAAATAAAGTTTGTTCTGTTTTGACTTTTGATTCAACAATATAGGCTAAGCCTTCAGAGTTTTATTAATTAGCATGTTTTGTTTTCATAATTTGTTGCATTCATTCTACAAAAAAAAAACAATCTGATTATTAAACTAGCCATGATGCTTAAACTAGCTCGATGCGAACTATCCATAGTTTGTTTAGTGAATATCGTATGTGTAAAAAATCACTTAAGATTTTTTAAAATTCGTAAGCAAATATTTAACGATTTTTTTATATTATAAACATATGGGAAGTCACAGGAGAAAAGTTGTAATACATTTATTTTACTAAGAAAAAAAAAGAGTCATTGAGGCTTTAAATTAGCAACATGTAAAGATAATGCCTACATTTAAAAATCAATTCATACATTTGATAAAACACTGAAATTATCAATTTAAGTTAAAGGTCTGATACCAAAACTACCACTTTATGTAATGAAATGTGATTGGCCAGTCTAAATATTTATATGTGGAACATGACAGATGCAATGTCCGTTTTAATTATTATGATTATGAATTTCGCAATGAGGAGACCCATGACGACACGTGTCATTTGTGTTATCGGCTACTGTTGTGCAAGTTTCTGTTGCCCTATCTGGAATCATTTCTCTTCACGTAAAATGACAAAAAAAATGTAATATCAACTTGTAAATGCGACATTGAATGTAAAATATTCTGGAAGCAAAGTGATCCCTCGGAAGCATTAATCACAACAAAATTACATGAAAATTGCAACCTCGGTTTGATTGAGTCTGAACATGAGGGATAATGAATAAGTGCAACATCCCTCACGCGCCCTGGCACCGGCTTGAGCGGTACTCAATTCTCAACACTTCATAGTGCTGGCATTAATGATCCCGAAGTTTTGTGATTTCATTTTAGAACATGTTGGGTAAACTTTGAGAAAGGATGATGTTTTTATAAATTTTTATAAATGTTTTTTTATAGATTGTTCAAAGTTGTCATCGGGAGACTGCATGTGTTTCAGAACCAGAGACCATTTTATGTATAAGGCCAATACACGATACATTGTATTGCTAAATACATTTTTAAACCATCATAAACGTCAAAGGAAATGCAGTCATCAGTAATTATCGTAAGACAAAAATTCAAACACATATATGTGTGTAATATTTTTAAATATCTAAAGGTGGTTAAATGTTTTTTTTACGAGCAAACACTTACTGTGTGGGACGTGACAATTACAATGTCCATGTTCCATGTTAGGATCATGGATCTCACAATGAGGGGCTCCATGATGGCATGTGTGACTTGCGCAATCTACATCTGTCTTACATGTTTCTGCTTGTCTCGCTGAAATCATATAGTGTTAATGTAAAATGACCTACACGTATAAAAGAAGGGTTATTATATTAAATGATATATATTAAATGAACTTTACTTTCAAGGAAAACTGCGTCTGTAAAAAAGTTAAATGAGGTGTTTAATGTTTAAACCAACTTAAGGTCTCGAAACAGTGCTTATTTGTTGACTATTAGATAATAAGGGGAAATTATTTCCATCAAAATCAGAATTCAAATCTTTGTGTATTTTTTTTTAATAATTTCATGTATTTAATCTAGAGTCCTTAAGCATTGCAAAAGTGCTTTACAAATGCGTAATTAAAACACTTACTATGTGGGACGTGACAGTTACAATGACCATGTTCCATGTTAGGATCATGAACCTCACAGTGAGGGGCTCCATGATGACATGTGTGACCTGCGCAATCAGCATCTGTCTTACATGTTTCTGCTTGTCTCGCTGAAATAGATGCTGACATGTAAAAATGACATGCTTAAAAATGCTGAATATAACATGAAATAAAGTTTGTTCTGTTTTGACTTTTGATTCAACAATATAGGCTAAGCCTTCAGAGTTTTATTAATTAGCATGTTTTGTTTTCATAATTTATAATTTCATAAAGGTCCCATTCAATGTACAAAGACAATCACTAAATCAATTACTGATTATTAAACTAGCCATGATGCTTAAACTAACTACATGCCAACTATCCATAGTTCGTTTAATAAATATCATACTTGACAGAATATGTAACACTAAAGTTTTATTTAAAAATTCGTAAGCAAATGTTTAACGATTTTTTATATTATAAACATATGGGAAGTCACAGGTGAAAAGTTTTAATATATTCATTTCAGTAAGAAAAAAAATGTCATTGACGCTTTTATCTTGTAAGATGTAAAGATACTAACTCCATTAAAAAATCAATTCATACATTTGTAGAAAACACTAAAATTATCAGTTTCAGTTAAAAGTCTGATACCAAAAGTTTCACTTCATGTGATTGGCCAGTCTAATAAAACTTTATATGTGGAAAATGACAGATGCAATGTCCATGTTGATTATTATGATCATGAATTTCGCAATGAGGGGACACATGATGACACACGTGATTTGCGTGATCGGCTTCTGTTATACAAGTTTCTGATAGTCTCTCTGAAATAATTTGTCTTCAAGTAAAATGACATAAAGATTGTAATATCAAATTGTATATGCGTCAATGAATGTAAGTTTTGTGATTTCCTTTTACAACATATTGGGTTATTTTCGTGGAAAGTTGATATATGTTTTCTAAGATGTCATCGGGATTCTGCACGTGTTTCAGAACCAGAAGTCATTTTATGTATAAGGCCAATACACAATGCATACAGTTTTTAAACCATCATCAACGTCAAAGGAAATGTAAATTATTTTTCGTCTCATCAGTTATTATCGTAAGAAAAAAAATCAAACGCATATATTTGTGTAATATCTTAAAATATCTATGGGTGGTTAAATGTCTTTTCACGAATAAACACTTACTATGTGGGACGTGACAGTTACAATGACCATGTTCCATGTTAGGATCATGAACCTCACAGTGAGGGGCTCCATGGTGACATGTGTGACCTGCGCAATCTGCATCTACCTTACATGTTTCTGCTTGTCTCTCTGAAATCATATACATGTAGTTTTTAATCTAAAATGACCTATACGTATAAAGAGAGGGTTAATAATATCAAATGATTAAATAAACTTTACTTTCGACAAAAACTGCGTGTGTCAAAAGTAAAATGAGGTTACGCCTTTTATTATGTTTAAACCACCTTAAGATCACGAAACAGTGCTTATTTGTTGACTCTAAGATAATAACAGGAAATTATTTTCATTAAAATCAGAATTCATATCTTTGTGTAATTTTTTCAATAATTGCATGTATTTAATCAAGAGTCTTTAAGCAAATGTTTCACATTGCAAAAGTGCATTACAAATGCGTAATTAAAACACTTACTATGTGGTACGTGACAGTTACAATGACCATGTTCCATATTAGGATCATGAACCTCACAGTGAGGGGCTCCATGATGACATGTGTGACCTGCGCAATCTGCATCTGTCTTACATGTTTCTGCTTGTCTCGCTGAAATCAGATAGTGTAAATGTAAAATGACAAATTCGGGAATATTGTAAATATGATACAGTACTTTTAATGAAATATGCGCGTGTTAAAATAAAATTAGAACAAGTTTAGTTTTTTCATTGTAAAATTAATGAAATGAGCCGCTTCATGACTAAACCAACATAATGGGTTTGCGACCAGCATGGATCCAGATCAGGATCCATGCTGCTCGCTATCAGTATCAGTTTATCTACTTGTTATAGGGTCTGAAAGCGAACGTACAGCATGAATCCTGATCAGACTGCGCGGGTCTGGATCCATGCTGGTCGCAAACTCACTATGTTGGTTTTGTAATAACGCGGCTCAAGTTGATATTGCATTTAGAAAGCCAAAGTAGATTAAAATGTAAAAAAGAGCGCTTCATTGTTTGATTACGCTGAATGTGCACCGTGTGATAAGAAATGTGTACTCCTTTTGTTGTTTCTGTGTATTCTATTTAATAAACCCATAAAAAATTTTCCATTACTTCTACAATTCAAATGAGGATGTTTTAAATTTAAATGTAATGATATAGACAATAAATGTGCTATGTTTGTTACCACACCTTATGTTAACTAAATTGACATTGATTTTCATGTTTTAATACATTTACTTGCAATAATGGCTTTTTTTTGCAGAATATGAAGTTATTGTATGCTTTTTTACCAGGACAATGTGCAGATATCCTATTTTAAGAAGTATGTAGCTGCAACTTGACACACCGTTCCTTATGTTCAAAACATCTCAAAGTCACGAGACTATAATAGTGTTCTATGGTTGTCAATAGGTTAAATGCGCGAAATGACCGTCATTAAAATCAGAAACTCATACTCTTATCTTAAATCCTTTAGTAAATCATCTTGCAAAAGTGAATAACATATACATTACGTGAACACTTACTATGTGGGACGTGACAGTTACAATGACCATGTTCCATGTTAGGATCATGAACCTCACAGTGAGGGGCTCCATGATGACATGTGTGACCAGCGCAATCTGCATCTACCTTACATGTTTCTGCTTGTCTCTCTGAAATCAGATAGTGTTAATGTAAAAATGACAAATTCCGGAATATTGTAAATATGATACAGTACTTTTAATGAAATATGCGTGTGTAAAAATAAAATTAGCACAAGGTTAGTTGTTTCTTTGTAAAATTAATTTAAGTTGATATTGCATTTAGAAAGCCAAAGTAGATTGAAATGTAAAAGAGAGTGCTTTATTGGTTGATTACGCTGATTGTACACGTGTGATTAGAAATGTGTGCTTCTTTTTGGTGTTTCTGTGCATTGTTTTAAATTAAACAACAAAAAGTCCCATTTCGTTTACAACTGAAATGAGAATGACTTAATTTTATGTTAAGACATAGACAATAAATGCGTTGTGTTTTTCCTTTTCAACCACACATAATGTTAACTTAGTTGACATTACTTTTCATGTTTAATACATTCACTTACAATTATGGCGGTATTTGTTCCAGAATATGTAGTTATTATATGTTTTATGATGAGGACAAGATGATATATCCTCTTTTGAAGAATTATTTAGTTGCAACTAGACACAGCATTCCTAATTTTTCTTATGTTCAAAACATGCCGGTCACATGACTATAGTCTTGTTCTATGGTTGTCTATAGGTAAAGAGCGCGGAATACCGTCATTAAAATCAAAAACATATTGAAATCTCAAGTCATTTAGCAAATGTATCAACTTGCAAAAGTGAATCACATATGCATTGTTAATGAAAACTGTAAATGATAAAATGCTAATATTTAATTATTGAAAAGTTAAATCACCCATGTTGATATTGCAATCATTAAGCCAAAGGGATTGTTTGAATGTAAAAATAAGCTCTTAATTGTTATTATATGCTGAACTTAAGTAGCATGACCTTTTTCATAATAGGGAAATGTTTTATGTTTTAATTAAGATTGCGCAAGCTGTAGTTATTCTTTTTTCAAAATTATTTCGTTAAGCTGCGACACACCTTCCCAAGTGTTTAAAGTATCTCAAAGTCACGGGAGTGTTCTGGAGGTTGGCTATTTGGAAAAAGATGGAATATAAAAACTTTTTTGTGTCAATGATGAATAAATGCTTGTATATCCAAAGTCCTTTAGCTTAAAATCATCTTGCAAAAATAAAATTGCATATTCATTCATTGATCACTTACTATGTGGGACGTGACAGTTACAATGACCATGTTCCATGTTAGGATCATGGATCTCACAGTGAGGGGCTCCATGATGACATGTGTGACCTGCGCAATCTACATCTGTCTTGCATGTTTCTGCTTGTCTCTCTGAAATCATATGGTGTAATGTAAAATGATATCACATCTGATAAATAAAGACTTATTAATGTCCATTCAACGAAAATGAGACATAAATTGCACATAACATTTTAATAATCCTAGTATATTTTACACAAGTTTGATTTTCTTGAAATATTTTGGTTTATCTAGAGGCATGCAGCTTTAATACATGTAGTATTTGCATCGTCTGAAAGTCAGAAGAATACTTAGTATGTTAAATTTGAGTCAGACATACAGATATATACCATGTATACTGTCATGTATAACAGCAAAGTTTTAATCAAGACGATATTTTTATTACATCGTGTCACAAAATAAATATGTATGAGTGAATAATTATTTCTCAAATATAAAATGTATTATATTATGTTGAAAACTGCTAGATACATGTAAATGATGGGGACTCAAATGAAATTCACAAGAATATCAAATATTCAAATTCAAACATAGTTAACTGTGGTAGTACAACCTATGTTGTAAATTCTTTTAGACATAACAATGAAGAGCAATTAAAGGGTTCCCCTTACTTATGAATCTGTCAGATTAGAATGCTTGAATAAGTAGCGATACGGAAATGATTTGCGTCATTTTGATCGTTTCTTCCTTGTTAAAATACGCTTGATCTTGCAGCAATAAGACATTAAAAGAAAACGATTAACAAAATAATAAAGGAATAAAGAGACTAACCGTACATTGTTTGTGTGCATTGTTTATTATGGCATTTTTATAAAGATCGTGCAATGGTGCTTCTGTTCTTACACTGGGACATAATGTAATTAATTACTACACTTATCGATCGGCTGTGTCAGGCGGACACCGACATAATTGCCTGTCGCATTAATATTATGTCCCAGGTTTATATTCAACTTGAAAACATAACATTGACTTTAAAACTATGAAGAGAGCGGTTTGCTTGAATTGTTAATTGAGAAAAGAAAATGGTAGATAGGGAATCAACTTACTTCCATTACCATGACTGTTGTCGTGGCAGTAACATTTATGGTCCATACAGTACTGATCGTTGCCAACACACGCGGGGCAATCTGAGTCGGTGTTGCAGTGGTGAGCATTCTGACGAATTGACAACGCCAGTGCTGATACTGAAATTATATTACATTTAAAGTATAAAATCTGAGGTTTTAACCCTTTGCTGGGATAGTTGCCATCCGCTTGCTGTTTGAATGTATATGTTTTCAGTCTTTTGAGTGTAAAATTATTGTTTCTTTTGTCATATAAATGGTTACAGAAAACCTAGAATGAAAAGAATCTGTCAGTGTCTCTTATTTAAAGCGAGTATTCATCGGCAAACCTAAATAGCAGTAGAATATTTTGTTCCATTTTATTCTCTGAACGTATAATATTCATGTATATTAAATTACTTAGACATTCTATGGCAACAAATCTTTCAAGAAACGATCATTAGGTAACATAACTTTGCTGAACTTATTTTCTGTCTTATTTTTTCTATATTTGTCCTTCTTTTATTTTTTTAGTTTTATTTATAACAATTTTATCAGATATAGCTTTACTCACTTTAAAAAAAAACATGGAGGCTGTCTGTTATAAAGCTTATTTCATGACATGAGGCAGAAGAACTCGGCGTTTGGTCTATTATCAAGCTGTATGCAATGTCTGCTATGATCGCAATAACCAGACTTTCGAGTTCTTACCCTTAACTTAAATGCTTTTATGTTATCAAATTATTATAAATTCTTTATCATCCACACATACATTCGTAATTTTATTTCTTTATCACGTTTATAAAAATGGTTCTTTTTTCACTTTAAACGGTATTTGTTTTTGGTATGTGGATAGAACCAAAACTAATTAGTCTTTTATTGTTGACTGAGTTTAGTCTTAATTAATGAACATTAATGTACGTTAATGCTCCACAGTTCCAAATCGGAAACTAGATAGATAAACTTATTTAACTAAACCCATATGATGATATTCCTAGTGATATGATCTAATTAAAAATATTTGATGCCACTTTATATATGAAGTTTGTGTGTCATTCTAAAATCCTAAAATTTATTTTAAAAAAAAGATAAATCGAATTGCTATTCCAAATAGTCATGCCGTCACTCTGATTAGTTAACTGTTTAATCAATACATTTAATTACAAATGAATATTAAAGTAAAACTTACCAACTAAAACACTGAAGACAAGAAATCGAAGCATTTTTAGTTAATAGTCCGACAAATTGCGACTGATGGTTTGATGGATCTCGGTGCTGTCTTTTATACTTACGAATCGTGATTTTCACAGATGTTGAAAATACATAGGTATTCAGACTTGAACTATATTAACGTGACTGACCAACATTTTTAAAGATAAAAATCAAGGACATCATTAATAGATATGAGGGTCCAATAAACAGTTTTGTAATTAGTGAGATTAGTGAGTGAGTGAGTGAGTGAGTGAGTGAGTGAGTGAGTGAGTGAGTGAGTGAGTGAGTGAGTGAGTGAGTGAGTGAGTGAGTGAGTGAGTGAGTGAGTGAGTGAGTGAGATATAAATGAAAGTACTATTTCCGTTGGTGATTAGAAAATGGTGGATATAATATTAACTGATACACACTGACCCTTTAACATGTCACTTTATAATATGAAGTAATCAAATGTAAAATTATTGAATACAAAATTTGTTTTGTATACAAAATACAAATTTGTGAAAGAAACAGATATTTTTTTATAAATTGAGTGATATTTATCGAACTCCCGTCCATGTCTATTCATAACATTTTTTTGAAGAGTTAAAGCTGGATAAGTTTCTTTGTTTGCTTTGGTTTTTTTGTCCGTCTGTGTATGATTAATTTTCTATTACCAAGACAATACTACACCTGCTTGGGTTGTATTAGAACAAAGGGCCTGATTTCCGCTGGAAGATATAGCCATTCGAACGAATGTTATCAGAAGTTAGCTTGCAAACTGTGCTAATGAAGGACCTGCGAGTGATAAAGATTTCCAGGAGTCGGACCCATTTATTAGCCGCTTTTACCAGCAAAGTTTTAGGTACAATAATGGTAATTTTAATTGGCTAATTAGTTAATTATTCTTGAAGCCACATTTTTTAGCCTAGAGTAAATATCAAGTAGTCGAAAGTTCAAGAAAAATAACGGCATTGTTTTGTTGAAATAACAATCTACAGAAAGAGGACATAATTAAGAGGGGCTAAGATATAAAAGTATAGTATTTTTTCAGGAAACACTTGTTACAATGCTATATCAATGACGTTTCTGTGTTAGTACACTATTTTGTAACTATTTCGTGTTGAAAATCAAATGGATCTCTATAATGATTAACAGGAGTGTCCAAAGAAGTTACACAAATATGATCAGGTAAAAAGGGTATAGCTTGAAAGTTTGAACAATTAGTTCTTCTACTTAACCGTGTCAGCCTTAAAACTTTTTGTTGGACCCTCGTACTATTCTTTTGAATGTCATTCTTCTGTGATTTCGTGTGAAAGTTTTCACGTTCACGTTGTAAACATAATGTCTTATCATGAATAAGCATTCTAGTTTTGATCTTACATACTAACTTTCCCTACTTAACATACTTACTTTCACTACTACGAATACTATTTTTCCCTACTACACAATACTAACATTCCCTTCTACACAATACTAACATTCCCTACTACTAATACTAACTTCCCTATGACTAATACTAACATGCCATACTACTAATACTAGCATCCGCTACTGCACATACTTTGCAACTTTACTACACTCACTCTAACAGTCCTTACACATGCATTTCCTAGCTTTTCCCAACAATGCTAGCTTCTAACTTCTGGCAATTTCGTGTTGAATACTTAACAATATTTAAAAAAACAAACGATATTGCGTTACTCTAGTGTCGTAAAGTGATGTTTAAGGAACTTCGTTAAGAAACCAGGACGTGCAGTGCCAATGTTATATAACTAACCTTATTTGCTACAGAGTGTGAACATGATATTGGAACATTGACTAATGACGTATGTACAATATACTTAGATATCAAGACTGATATAAAAACAGGATAAAGAAGCACGAGGTCTGTTCAAGATAAGAAAGAAAACATCGCAAATTAACTGGTCTACATTTAAGATTTTATATAAAGTACTCATACATATCTCTTGAATGCGTTAGTGCGTACTAGTACTTTCCAGAAAACTAATTAATTTAATTGAATGCCACTACTTTCTTTTTAAGATAGAATGCCGCTTGATTATCCACAGTCTATCTTTTAAGAATTGAACATGATGAGTTTTTATTACATCTGTTTTATTTCATTAGTATAGATAAAATGGAAAATACAGAGAAAAAAACAGAAATCCTAAAGAATGCAATAACAAAATAAAAACAAAACAAAAAAAATCAAAGCACAGAAGGCGCTGAATTTGTTTGGGTCTCAGAATGTCAGAAAGGTGAATGTTGTGAGATTATAAACCAATTTGATTTTGTAAAGTGCCACTAATGCTTTCCAGCGTTTTAATTGTAAATTGGCTATAAGACTAATTACAACACTGATATTCAATTGTTTATTTGACTTAAACAATTTAAAAAATGAGTTGCCTTAACTTGGATTTGAACTCCAGACCTCTCGATTCCTAAGCGAGGGTACAAACCCCTCGGCCAAAGTGAAGTTATATCTTAACGGCCTGAAGAAAACCATATTATTCTAAATCAGGGTTTGTAACTCTTATTATTTCGATGCTAAACCTGTTGTTTAACACAGATGTAAATAATCATGGAGCTTACTATAAGCATATATATCTATAAAGAATAAAACAATATTAGAAATTCTTCGACCATTCGGGAACTATTTTGCTTGAAAATTAATGCGCTTGTCATCTTTACGCAGTGATCTCCCCTGAATTTTTCGGCGTTAGTGTACATATAAAGGAAAGTAACCGCTTCAAAAAAGCGGACTACTTTCGGCATTTGCAATTAACAGCATTAGGGTCTGAAATTTCGCTACCATTATTTGTTTGGTCTGACGACCCAAACAAATAAAAAAACGGCTTTTGAAAATGTAACAGACTCAGCTTGATTTGCCCTCCTCGTATACTGGAACATTACTTAAAGTTACCATCTATATTCGCCCTTTACGCCGGTTATCTTAAAGGTAGACCATAACAGGAAAATAGAAAATGTGGCAAACGCCGTTTGAATTAGCCAGCTCCTGGATTGAACTGGCAAATTCACGTTACCATCTACACCCCTAGCATCGGTTACAGCATAACACAGCATATGGCTCCTGAATTTAAAATTATCCGCAAATGTGTTCCTAAGCGGTGCCTTCAATGCAAAACATCTTAATTTGAAGTTCAACGAAAGGCACCGTAAAGTCCTTTACAGAAAGAATGCTTTGAAAAAAATTAGACGGAACTAATTCAAATTGAAGGGAGTCAGATATTATGATGCCTGCGTTTAACAGACAGCTGTCGAAAACAAACTTAAAAAAACTATACCATATCCTAAGAGTGATTATACAGTTGAAAGACTTAAAAATCTTATTTCTTTATTACAATTTAATCATACTAAATGTGTTAGCCCGCCTATATATAGATTATAACGTAACCTGAGCAATACTGACCAGAACTGTACGTTAGAGTTGTTAAAATGCTTTTACATTAAATTCCTTATTAAACAGTATGCATTGTAATTCATGTTATGCGAGTGTATGTCTAAAATTACTTCACACATGATACTGTACAAACAATGTTAAGTACTTATCTTGGAGAGGTACCTTAATTAATTCTATACAAATGAGCCGAAAAGTGGCCTATTTTGCAACATGGAGATTTTGGCTTGTACATGCACCAGATTCAGTTGTATTAATTAGTTTCTAGCTGGCAAATACCTTTACATGTATATCATAATATCAGTAAGTGATCCTTTTTTGTCCTGAAATTAATGAAAAAATTCAACAACAATCGATTCACTTTTATTGAAGACGTGTTTCCCTTAGAATTTTACAATTTCCTTCACCAAGTAGGCATTCAAATAAGATATTCAAAGACAAAACACTTATACTAAAGTCGTCAGAAAACAATATGCATTATTTCTGCATGATAACATATCAATTAAAATCGATCAATAAAAAGAGTAGTTAAAATACTATTTCCCAAATTTCCTTTCCTGTTTATCATTTTTCAAGCCCGCTACAAAAATATTAAAGCAGTGCATAGAAAAGGCGAAAACAACAGTACATGAGCCAGATTATTTGCTCAATCTATAAGCAAACGTACGTAAGACAACGTCATTTCCACTACAAAAAAAATACAAAATTAAAACGTAAGTTGATTATGTCGCCATCAAAATGTTATGCTGTATAACTGCCGTTGATCATTTACACACACATGACTGTGATTAAGTTCAGTCACGTTCATTTATATAATTTATATACATGTTACTTGATCTTCAATGAACTTAAAGAGAAGTCTCTGACTTGATGGACACATTGTCTATTCTAGCACTCGATACCCTACTCGATGCTGCACTCTGTCCAACATTCCTTAGACTTGAAATCTTCGTTGAATCTTTTTCCGCCATTCTATTTGACGTCATCCATTGCATTATATTTGTGTCAGGATCAATTTCCGGTTCCGCTGGTGTAATTTTCTTCTTTTGCCATTTCTTTAAAGAGTTTGATAGCCGACAAGAAATGCCAATTTTGATTCTAACCTGAACCAGTCCAAACAGAGCTAAATGTATCAACGGAACAAAAATGAATACAGTGCCGTATGCAATCCCTGTTGAAAAGAATCCTGTATCCCAGTCCAGTATTTTGTAAATGTATTCCCCGCTCAGTTTTTGGTATGCTACGTTGAAAAACACGTAGAGAATAAAAAAGAAAACGGGCAAATAAAAATGAAAAAGTCGGAATGGCTTTGCTGTTATCATAAGATGCAGCAGAATCACTACGCAGTTCAGAACGGTGAAAGCTATTGTTCTAAAGTCGAGGACTACAAAAGAAATGTAAAAACAATCACAATTTTTTTTTATTGAAAATCATTGAATGATTATAATTATATCATATGATTAGAAATCAAGTAATATAGGAAAGCAAACAGGAATAATTGTATATTATTGCAAATTAGTTAAGTATACTTAAAAGGGAAATTACGGAGCGGTCCACAAACACAATCTTATGTATTAATTCTTATATCTGAATAGCTTATATCTTGTGAAACAAATTAAAAATATATCAATAAAAGAAAAGAATCTAAAAAAATGCTTAGTACCGCTTTCTTCTATCATTTTGCCATCCCAGTTATAGTCCATTTCAAGATATTTGCCTGCAAAGTATAAATGTTATTTTATTTTTAAAAAAAAACATAATTACTTTAAATGATAAATTTGAGCTGCGCCATGACAAAACCAATATAATGGATTTGCGACCAGCATGGATCCAGACCAGCCTGCGCTACCGCGCAGTCTGATCAGGATCCATGCTGTTCGCTGTCAGTTTCTCTACAATAATAGGGTTTGTAAGCGAACAGCATGGATCCTGATCAGACTGCGCGGATGCGCAGGCTGGTCTGGATCTATGCTGGTCGCAAACGCACTATGTTGGTTTTGTCATGGCATGGCTCAATTTTCGCCGATGTTTTGTTTATTTTTGTCCCTAAGCCTGCTAGCGGCAAAAGACTACAAGTGCTGACGAAGATCGGCCGGCTAGCGGCCACAGATTACCAGAGCCGTGCATCGTTTTCTATTCGGTCAAAATTTAAAATCATTTAATGTAATGCATAAGTTAATATAAATAGATAAAAACAAATAAAAACACCAAATTCCTTACTTAAAATATAAACTATCCAGTGCAGCAATGAAGATGTTATTCCTACAACAGACGACAAGGTGAAAAATATCCACGTGATCGCCATATATATCCGCATTTTGTAGTACTTGCCTGTAAAGAAATAAAACAAAATACATAAAATACTTATTTGATTTTAACCATTTACTAAGGGCGAACTATGTCTCTAGGAAGTCATTCAAGAAAGCTCAATTTTACATTCTTTACCTCTTATGTATTCTTAGTGACATTGGTGTTCTTTGACATGTAAGAGGAAACGGCGAAGTATGAGGCAACACGATTCTGTCAATAAGAGCAAAACAAAATACCTTAACAAAAGATTTTTAAACTTGCCATTGTATCATATTAATAAAGTTGACATTTTAACTACATATAATTCAATGTTGTTTTTTTCTGTGAGAGAAATACATTCTTTCATTGTTTCAGCCCATGCACTTCTTTATTGTCCAGAAGATAAAAGTAAGAAAAGCAAAACCAACTCAGGCAAACCCGCCCACCTATATGCTGCAAATACAGTGCCAAAGGTGGTCGCATAAAAAACTGGCCGATGGAATCCCTTAACGATGTTTAAATCAGGGTTTTAATGTTGCCATAACATATAACTGGCCGTGGACTTCCTCTACATACCCATGGTTTTGTAGCTTATTTTCACCGCTTTGTTTCTCATTACCACCTCGGCTTCGGCTTTATCATCTAGAATAAAAATATATAATAGAACAAAACAGAGCATTTATAACATACCCAAAATAAGAACTGTTAACAATGCGCGGGGGTGGAACTCCATATGGATCTCAAAATTGAGCATCGGTAAAAAATATATGTGAATTTCTGCTCATCCACATCATGAACTGTGAGGTATACCTCGATATGTGAAGCAGAAAATATGTCAATTACAGGGTAAGTTTTCACCTTTTTAAACATTTATATAAAATTCAAAAGTTCTGTTTATTTTTAAAGAAAATCGAAATGTGATTCTACCCTCGAAATTCGAAATTTTATGTTTGTATTTTATATATACAATAAGATATGGTTAAACAAAACTGTCATTTGTAAAAAGCATACTTATATTTAACATCCTTAAATTATATATAAAGTATATCTTTGAATTTACTTACTCTCTCTTTCCTCTAGAATGTATCTGGCCAGGCAATGGACATACAAAGACACCGTTAAATCAACCAAGTTAGACAGGACGAGCAGTAAATAAGCCCATATTGTTATCGACAAAAAATATTTCCCGCCACTTGGTCTATTTGACTGGGTCGCATCAATGGCAAGGATAATAATATGGTATATCAGCTGTATTGCATTCCATGCCGGGTATAATGCATGTGGTCCTAACTGAAATAATACATACGTCTTATAAGTTTTATTTCAAACGAATAATCATGCTGATATCAAATAATTCGCCTATTTAGAGATAAAAGAGCTATGTACTATAACTTAGTTATTAAATGACTACTAAAACAATATCTTATCGATTACCAAATAAACATTTTTTATATGTTTTGGAATCAGAAAAGTTATTTTCAAATAATATACAACATATGTTCAAGATATTTATTGTGTATAAAATGATTTCTTCCTTGTCATACCTTTATTTTTCTTGTATTATAAACGGTTAAATATTTTCAATAAATATACTTTTTCAGATTAAAATGTAATATATCAGCAGGTATAAAAACTTTACCTCCGGGATGACAAACAGCACTGGTCTCTTGTGGTGAAACCCGAAATTTCTCAACTCAAACTCCTTCTCCCAAAATGTGTGCATAATTAACGTTTTATCTCTTAACCATTTTAAACAAATAAAGTCAATCCTTTTTTTTTTTTTTTTTTGGTTTTTGATTATTTTTACATTTTGTCTTAATGTTTATTAAAATAAAAATAGTGTTTAAGCAATACAAACATGTTGAAAATGTTAAAATGTTCACTTTGTTTTATACAATAATCGGAGTCACCCCATTTTATAAATTAGGACACCCAATAAAAACAATTAATATTACATATATATTTTAGCGCATCATTTAACATAAATGAAATTTCTATTTATAAATATTAAAATAAGTGACCCACGGTTAACTAACACAAGTGAAAATAAAAGCGTCATTGTTTTTGCTTACTGAACAAGTTATAGGATTTCTTAAGATTTAAATACGCACTAATTTAAAAGTTAAATGTATTTAAATACTGAACTATTGTACATGTTATAACAATATAAACACAAAAGCTTTAAAATTGAGCCGCGTCACGAGAAAACCAACATAATGGGTTTGCGATCAGCATGGATCCAGACTAGCATGCGCATCCGCGCAGTCTGATCAGGATCCATGCGTCGTTATCAGTTTCTCTACTTGTTATAGGGTCTGTAAGCGAACAGCATGGATCCTGATCAGACTGCGCGGATGCGCAGGCTGGTCTGGATCCATGCTGGTCGCAAACGCCGTTATGTTGGTTTTGTCGTGACGCGGCTCAAATGGAATAAATGATCGGTGGTCATCTCATTTGTCTGCTGTAAAACATAGATGAACCATTGATAAGTACGTTTACATTGTAGCTAAACAAGTTAAAAAGAGCAATACCTGGAAGATAAAAATTTCAACACCCCCCCCCCCGCCGCTGAAAAAAAAAACAAAAAAAAAAAAAAAAAAAAAAAAAACAACTAAACAACAACAAAAACATGATCTACAAAGATATTTACCGACACCATATATAGAATAAACATTACAAAAAAAGTAGCAGTATCAATAGACAGTTGACCAATAAAGATGCATACATTATATTTCGCATATGATTCATAAAATACTGTTAAAAAAGTGAGAAAGACAAGAAATTTTTTTAATGATTTAAAAACGCGTTAAGAGCATATGTAGAGTTTATATTATAAAAACCTGGCAAGACGTCCCAGTTAAACAAAACTGATAAATGAATGAATGAATAAATAAATAAAACGTTTATAAAAGTAAGTACATGATCACGAAGCAGCCTAAACAGCAGCATATGTTATGGAATCAAATTAAGCAGACAAGCAACAGGAATTGTCACAAAACCGCCAATAAAACTTTATAAGACTGATCGATGCCTCAAGTTCTTGCTCAACTATTATGTTGTAATATTCTGTGATATTTGCTTGTAGTGCGATATTTGCTTGTAATCAATTATTATCTTATCCATATTGATACAAGTATGTGATTATAAATCTTAATTTATATTACAGATTCGCTCATAAATGAACATTGATCTTCTTAATCATATTTCATAATTTTATTCTATTGTACAGGTTGTTTGTTTGCATGTTAAAGAATAGTCTATTATGTCGGAAAATAGCTTATATAGCTAGTGTTATTGTGTTTATTGTAACCCACTATAAATAAAGATTATCTTATCTTATCTTATTTCCGGTTGAATGTTTTTTTTTTGCTGAGTTATCGCCCTTGAATAAAAAATGCGTTTTGCCTGTAAATTTGTTTTTTGTGTCTGCTGCTACACAGTAGCTGCAACATGCAATTGGCTATCATCAGGAGACACGTGATCACTGATCGCTCTAGCTTGTTTGACACAGCACTTGTGTTTTGTGGTATTCATGTAGACCTCTTCACAGTGTTGAGAATGATTGCTGGTGGAATCCATTTTTGTGTATCAAATTAAAGCTAATTCATCGCATTTTAAACCTTAAATCATTAGAAGCAGTCTACAAAAATTTATGCGCATGCTCCGCTTTAAAATACGACTTAACTTATACGAAAAAATAAACATCGAAATGAACAAATCGGTACATGAAAAATCGGAAAATATCATTTTCGTTACTTAACACTACGAGCAATGGTTCATTCCGTTTTAAATCCTGGATAATTGTTTTCTCAGTAGCTTTTACTATTTCATGTTCCGAAAAATAATAACAGTGCACATTATATATTTTTGATTTCTACAATATCACCATGCACTATTATATGACCAAGTTAACCTTTAATCGGAATTTTGCTGCTCCTTTAACTTTTGAACCGGTATGCCTAAATCAATCAACGGAGAAATTTTGACGCAAATGGCACAATTTTTTCTCAAGTTTGATTTTCTTGAAAAATTGTCGTTGGATGCATGCAGTTGTATATACTGTTTATTCCAATGAAATGATATCACGGAGCTAATATCTGTCATGATATATACATTTTTTTTTTAAATCTGGGACTTAAAATTGTTTGATTAACATGCAGTTCTTTATGCCCGTTTTGGAAAATCTCTCTTGCAGAGGAAATGCTTCCATATACTTTCCAAAAACATCAATCGAATATTTGGAACTTTACAAGAAACTTTTATTTCATTTTTTGATACCACTTTTAATATATCATTTATTTTAAATTAAATTTGATAACATTAAGTGTTCCATTTGTTGAAAAAATATCCCTATTAATGCGCCAAGAAAATGTCCATTTCTCCGGCCATTAAAAAAATAAAATTGATACTATACAGTACTGTCTTTTTATTTGAAAGATCCTGGTATATACATAAATTTTGGTAAATGATTGAAATTTATAAACATCATTCTTTTATGCAAAATATATAAAAATATTTTTGAATTTAACAAATCTTCCACAGCTGCAAAAAGACCTCTCCCTGGAAGCAAACTTGTTTAAACACTTGGCCGTATTTTATACTCAAAATACTGTGAGTACTTTGATAGATAACGGAAAGATCCGAAAAGTTGCGATTGCGGATGCTGATAGTAAGGGAGTTAACTCATGCGAAATTATCACACCAGATGCCGCTATCAACATCTTAAAATGTAAACACAGGTAAATTATGTCAGAAAAATATCTTTTCGTTATCATTATAATCTTATTACTTACTGGATTTATATTTTCTACACTTTGCTTTGTTAACATAAATTATTTCTTTAAAGTTCTCTTAAGTTTTGGAGAATTCTGCTATTTTTCTCTAGAATCTGGTTCGTCCCAAAAGCGCGTCGCTCCAGTTTGTTACTCGTGAAGTGATGTTCTGTTACTTGATTTTACTTATGATTGTAGAGCCATTTAGCTCAGTTGAACTGTTTGCTGTATAATTTTGTCATTTGATTATCATAATCCATCGCATATAATAACAATAAGACTTTCATAAATGAAATTAATATGCAGTCCACTGTTCAATCTATACCGCAATCTATCTATTTATAGACCTTTTTATTGTCATACATCTATCTATCTTCCATTAATGACAAACACTAAGTGGGGTTGTTGACATGTCTGCGTGTCAAAATAACAAGAAAGTTAAAAAGAGTTGTTTAAAAGAGGATAAACACAGGATGGCCATGGCGTGAGTTTCGGGAATGGCCCCATTGTCACATACATGGGAAAGCAACCAGACCATGGTGAAAGTTATAGAAAAGGGATAACCTAGCATGCCATCTATACGTCTGAGTTCCAGTTTTCGAAGCTTAAGGGTAGTGTTGTCCCGATTGTGTCTGAAAATCGATAACTAATAGGATCACCCCAAAATCGGCAACAATCGATAGTCCTTTTTAACAATTGATTATTTTAATGTTCTACCTAGGGCTTTTCCTGTCCAAATCTCTTTAATTCCAGAGGATCCTATGGTCTTTTTTGTTTGCCTTATCAAAAAAGAAATACAGAATAAACATGGCTGGTGAATAAGTCTGCAATTTGAACAACTTTGTTTCCTTATAATTAAAGTTAATTCATCTTTTCCGCGCTTTTTTACTTTCAGCATGTTAAAATTTTTACTTAGCACAATAAATTTAATCCTTGCCTTAGGTCATTTCTGTTAACCATTGAAATTTACTGCCGAAAAATTTACTGCAAATAACAAGTTTAAGAGACATGAAATGCAATAGCCAATGTACATCTAAGGCATCGTAATTAATTGTTCATAATTTATATGACACCTTCCACTTAACATTATAAAATTATATATCTACTGTCACTACAGTAGTTAAATGAGTGATCTACAATACTACTCATTAATATTTTGACCTTTTGATTTGTACTAATACTGACTGCCATGAAGTTGTATTATACAAAAAATTGACTGTCACAAAGTAGTATTAGGTATTTTTGTTGTTTGTTTTGAATTCAGAGAGTAAATCTTACTTTAATCTATGAGACAAGAGCTTATTTATTCTCAAAATGTGGTCACTATTGTATAAAAATACATACAAGGATTGGTACCTTAAAAGAAAAAGGGCCATAAAAAATGCAAAACTCGATTATACTATCGGAAGACAATCAATTGTGGTGATCCGATTATCGATAGTGACTTTTGAGTCCAATACCCAACACTACTTAAGGGAATGAAGCATATCTGTGATGCTTGAGGTCTGGCTTGATCCATTAGGCTGTTCTTCTTTGGACATTTTCAATTGGAGGCTTTAGACTGTCAGTGTGTCAAGCCACTAAGAAATGTAAAGATGTGAAATAAAAGAAATGTATATAAATATATATATACTTAACGGTTTACCTCACATAGACACGATTAAAGCACTTTTGACCCCCCCCCCCTTTTGAGGCTTTAACTAGTGAAAAAATGTCCTATTAAGGCCCCAAAACACTTGTTTTCATTTGAGAAATGTTGTTAAACAAGTGATCGGCGCTGGCCCCCTTTCAAAAAGATACATCAGGGGGGTGCCAGAAGGGGATGTGTCCTCTTCTGCTGAGAGGTTTCAACGCCTAGAAAATTTTGGACTTGTGAGCCGGTTAAATCAGTCTCAGGCCGATCTTTAGTCTATCCCTATTTTAAATATTCTGCTTGGACACATGTCATAACCTTAATCTACTTACTGGTATGTAGAAATGCTCCTTTTAAGAACACATGAACATAGTGTTAAATTCAGTTTCTCATGTTGAATGATAAGACCTTGAAACATAATCTGCTGCACTGGATGCAAAAAGTATAAGAGCCGCGTCACGACAAAACCAACATAAAGGGTTTGCGACCAGCATGGATCCAGACCAGCCTGGGCATCTGCACAGTCTGATCAGGATCCATGCTGTTTGCTATCAGTTTCTTTACTTGTTATAGGGTTTGTAAGCGAACAGCATGGATCCTGATCATGCTGGTCGCAAACCCATTATGTTGGTTTTGTCATGGCGCGGCTCATATATGAATTTAAAGTAAAAAATTGTAGGATCAGAGAAATACATATTGGCAATTATGTCATTGTACTAATAATAAATTTTGAATTATTTTCATGTTTAACAGCATGATGAGCCAATGATTTAGCTCAATGTTAAATTTTGTCAAATTGATTCTATCTTAAACAATGGATGAAACTATCTATTGAGATTATATACTCTGTAACTGTACACTACAAGTTTAAACATCCTGCTGTTTTTCTTTTCCTTCTTTTTTGGCTGGAGTATTCGAAAAATAGGGAGAGCTATTGTGCTCATCCACATGTCAGCGTTACACTTTGGTTAAGTTTTTTGGTGCAAAATGGTATCTATTTTGCATTGTTTTTTTCCATCAAAACTGATTTCAAAGTGCTGCAACTTCTCAATGAATTGAGATAGAGTAAAAGGCTTTTCAGTGTTGGTTACTAGTTACCCTAAGATCGACATGAGGCCATTTTTAGCCTGTCACATGTCCAAAAATTTCTTGGCAATGAGGGGGAATACCGCCCCCTTGAATCCCCCCAAACAGAAGTGGACATCCCCTTTCTGGAAACCCCCTGATGTATCTTTTGGTTGGGGGGGGGGGGGGGCTGCGCGGAATAAGTGGTCAGTTTTTTTAACAACATTTCTCAAAGTTTGGGGCCTAAATAGGGCATTTTTTCACTTTATGAGGCCTCAAAAAAGGGAGGGGAAAAAACCGTCTAAACACGTCTATATAAGGGAAAAGGTTAACCCATTGCTTCATGAGCATTTTGTGAAAAATGGCTGTTTTCATTGAAAAGTCTCCCGTTACAAGTTCAAATTGCTATAATACTATAAAAACTGCTTCAACACTAATCAAACTTGGCACAAATGTTGACTGGACCATTGTCCTTGCAACAACATGCTCAGGCTTAAATTTTCTGTTACCATGGCAACGAGGGGACATCTCAAAATTGCCAAAAATCACTATTTTGCGTTGATTTTTTCCATCAAAATTGATTTCAAAGTGCTGCAACTTCTCAATGGATTGAGATAGAGTCAAATGCTTTTCAGCGATGGTTACACGTTACCTTATGATCAATCTGGGGTCATTTACAGCCTCTCACAAGTCCAAAATTTTCTTGGCGATGAGGGGGACTCCGCCCCCTTCAAACCCCCCCAAACAGAAGGGGGCACATCCCCCTTCTGGCAACCCCCTGATGTATCTTTTGGTTGGGGGGCCGCGCCGAAAAAAGGGTCACTTTTTTTAACAACATTTCTCAAACAAAAACAAGTGTTTGGGGCCTAAATAAGGCATTTTTTCATCATTTGAGACAACAAAAAGGGGGGGGGGGGTGAAAAAGGCGTTAAAAGGCGTGTATATGAAGTAATGGGTTAATGATAATAATGTTCTTTGTAGTTTAAACAGAGTTTGGAATAATGTCCAATACAGTATCTGTTCTTTTTGGGTATGTGTAAATGCATTGATTGTTACTTTACTAAAGTTAACAAAGTCCTTGGTTTCATTGTTTTAAGTTGACTCTTGAGTTAAAACTTAAGATTCTATTAAGCAATTATAATTAGGTAGACCATGGGTAATGGGAACCATAAGGAACTGTAAAATTGACAGCATAGGACAGTTATATGTCTTCAAGGTCACCTGTATGCAAAATTTAAATAAGATTAACCGTGTGGTTTATGAGTTATGGATATATTTCTGACCTAAGACTTTGCCATTAGAAGGGCTTATTTTCGGAAATAAGGAAACTGTAAATAATCTGTAATATCATCATTATAAAAAATGTTTTTTCTATTGCACATTGTTAAGAAAACAAATAATAACATTCAGGTAACACATTACACAAGCAAAATGTTTGTTTTCTAAACAAAATGTTCTAAATATGTATAAATGTTACCCTACCCCACCCACTTTTAACACTAATTTTACCATTTCCCTATCTAAAATGCCTTATTCAAAATATCCCTTAAATTTATCGAAATGAGGGTCTGTTTTCAAAGTTTGCATAAATTTTCTCAAAGGTATATTAGTTGATCATGCGAAATATGAAATACTTTAACCGTGTAGTTTTTATTTTATCGAACTTTGAAAATATCTGGTATCATATTTGCTATAAATTTTGGCATTATTTAGCAAAAAAAATACCTAAAATAATTATATAATTTAAATCAAACTTTTTTCTACCATAAGGGATCAGAAAGATACAAAAAATAATGTTTAAAAGAAAAAAAGAAAGAAAAAAAAAGTTGCCCCTTCTGGGGTTTGAACCCACGCCCCTCAATTTCAATGTAGTTTACAAGCGATTCTAGCCTTAGTATTTGAATACTCTTCAAAGTGGAGGTAATGCATTACCCATGGTCTACCTTGACATTTACTGGTAAAACTGTAACATTCATGATTGGAAGTTGCCACTTTTCTGTGATCATGATTCGGAAGGAAAAACAAATTTTACTTTGCTTTTTGGGTAAAAAGATTGTTTTTATTTAAAAAAATTTAAAAAATTTTAAAATTTAAATTTACAAACTTTACCCTTTTGGGCCCGTAGAGGGACGCCCGCTTTGTTTTTTGAGGAGATTGGTTAAGGGGGGAAGGGGCAAATTCCCCTTTAAAAGGGGTTTACATTTAAAGCTATTTATCTAATAAATTTTTTTTTCTTTTTAACCCATTTAAGAATTAAAAATTTAGGGGGGTTCCTTTAATTTTTAGGGGTCATTTTTTTAAAAAGTTTTTGTCCCATAAATGTCTTGGGTTTTTTAAAACAACCTAAAAATTTTCCCCAAAAACCAGAAAAAAATTTTCCCAAAGAACAAAAATTTATGCTGTTTTAAGGTCGGTTTTAAACCAGAGCAATGATTTTGCAAAATGCTTTCTTTTGCTTAAAAGGGGAAAAAAATCCCAAAATTTTCTTTTACACATGTATGTATTTTGAATTTTTTTTTTTTTCAAAGTTCAAACAATTTTTTTTTTACTTCAGGCATCAGAGATATAACTTTATACATTTTAATGTATAATTCTTGTCTGATGTGTAACTTCGGAGCAATAAGCTGTGATTTATATTATCATAAACTATAAATTAAAAAAACTCCACTCTGTGTAGGATTTAAAGTTGAAATTTTGGTGTATAAACACAAATAAACATAAAACTCCCAACATGGTTGAGCAAGAGTAAATTCCTTGATAAATTACATTTTTTTGTCAGAGGCTTGGCTAAATAATCAAGATGTGCATTCTCTTAATAAAGCTATCAGTATTGAAGTTTATTCACAAGTAAACTATGAAAATGTTAATATCATTGAGGCTATCCATATAAAAATTGCAAGGGAAGTTTCTAAAAAACTTGGTTTAAATTAATGTATGGTATGGAGGTGTATCAAGAACTTCTATTGCCTTATCAGCTAGTGATATATTATTTCAATACACCTTTATTCCTGAACATACAGGCATGTTGTAAAAGATATTTCCAAGTCATGAAAATTCTTGGTCAAATTAGGAATAAGTAATGTAAAGTAGTGCTCGGAAAAAAAGGTTTTTTTTTGGGTTTAAAAATTAATTAAAAAAATAAATAATTTTTTCGTAGGTGGAAAAGAGATAATAAACCCGGTTTTAGCCCTTTGAGTTACAAAACCCCTTTTTTAAAACCCCATTTTACTGCATTAGGGGAAAACTCTTCCAGGGCCCTGGGTTGGGATGTTTTTTAAAAAATGTTTTTTTGGGCCCAAAGTTTTGGACTGCAACTGTACTGATCAGTTTTTAAAATTTAATTTTGGGGAAAATAGCCCCTTTTTTTTTTAAAGGGTTTTTTAAAAAAGGGTTTTTTTTCCTTCTTTTTTGGAAAGGGTCCCCCGGGGTACCGGGGACTGAGGGGGGAAAAAATGCGTTTTTTTTTGACAAAAAATTGGGTTTTTTTTAAAATGCTTTTTTTCGCTAAAAATTTTGGAAAATTGGGAATCATGGGAATAAAGATAGCTAACAGCTTCTACTGTCCAGATAGAACTATTGAGTAGTGATTTGTATGAAAATGTTGGATTTAAATGATTTTAGAAAAATCACTTGGCCTTGTGGGCATTTTGAACAGCCATTTTGGGAATTTAACATTGGAAATTGGGAATTTTGATGTCTTTTTTCTATTGGGAATGGTACCGTTTTAGGGTAGTAGTTATATAAAGAAAACAAACACTGTAATAATGATATAAAAATGTTCATACATTATTTCTGACTTACTATTTTATCACTATGACATGTAGTGTAATCTGCAAATGATACTAAAAATAGAAAACTCATGTACACTGTAGATCATTAAGCATTAAAAAAAAAGATTTCTTAAAATAGATTATTAGGAAGACAATTTTGAATGTACAATACCAATGAATATGAAAAATGTCAGTTTACTAAATAAATATTTATGAAGTAAAATTAATATGAGTGCTTCAAACAGAACAGTTAATTGACAAGTTATAATTATCATCCATTATTTCTAGAAATGAGTAAAAGTGTCCAAAATGCAACAAAATAATCAAATACAAATAGGCAAAGAAAGTGTGTGATTTTAGTAATAATTTTTGGTAATAATTTGGTATCAATTTTTGCACCTATTGATATAATAATGCTGAAGTACATAATTATAGTAAAACTTACTTACTATAAAATCGTGTTTTTTTTCTTCACTGTTAGATCTGTTTTTTTTATTGATGTATAAAACTTTTGGAGAGAGCCTGTACACCACCACTATACTGCTGCTTCCAGCTATAGATGTATCCCTGTTGAGTGCTATCTTGAACATTTATATGTGAATCACATTTGATAGGCAAGTCTAGATCAAAGTTATTTCAACTAATTGGAAAAACAGATAATTTTCTATATATTTTGTTATCGTTCTCGTGTGCCGTAAGTTATTTTTCAGTGTGCAGGCAAAAAAAACTGCATGAAGGAAGTATTTTTTCTCGGAATTTTAATGTGATTTTGATGGATTTACTGTTCTCATGGTGATAAATAGTCTGTTTTGTTTAAAAGGTTGTTAATTTTGATAATTAAATTTATGAAAGAAAAAAAGTGTGATATTGTCTGGAGATAATTTATGATTTCAAATCTTTCATTTACTGGAATAGATGTGTATTTCTGTTCAAAATTCATATATGAGGCAGGCAGTGGATGTATATTATCATTGAAGACATGGTAAGTATTGTAGTTTCAATTTTAAGATGGTTGGGGGTTATTGTGTTTTAAAAAAAATAGTTCATTCTAGCATAAAATAGAACATGTAAAAAACAGAGTCCCTAAAGAGCGATCAATATGGCAAAATTGAAAATGTTGCAGCTTGAAGGTTTGGTTCATAGACAGAACTTACTAGTGTATGCAAGCGTCCATGCCCCCTATTAGCACCTGTGTTAAGCATATACATGTAATTAAACTCAATTGTAGAATCCTTAGTTTTGGCATATTATTCTATTTTACATGTGTTGGCGTCCTGGAATTTTCTAATAAATGTCTCTGTCATCCCATCCCTCCTTGCCCCCCCCCCCAGTCCTTCACATCCTTTAATACTACCCCAGATTACTACTTTGTTAAACCAAAGTTAGATATATAAAATACTTTTTTGAAGCATTTGAAATATATTGTTATTTTGATTCAACATTACCATTGCCAGTGGCAGGTTATATAAATTATTAAATATTGCAGAGCTGAAAATAAATGATTATTTTAATCCTTCTCTAAATTAATCTCAGTGAGTAAAGACACATTATTTGTATTTTCTGGCATGCCAGAGGTCTGCCATGCCTGATTTTATGGAACTTTAAGCCACTGATTAATGAGAGAGTGAATTGTATAGGGCATAAGGCTGTGAGAATTTTATAAAGTGGGCACATTCTTTTCTTTGGATGCTTTTATTAACTGTTTACACTTCCAGTCTTCATCAATAGTTTCATCAGAGAGAATATTGATGATACACACATTCTACACTATAATATGTAAGTGTACTTTATTTCATGTATAGACTCTCCTTTGATGTCTTATCCATGATATACAGGCTTCGTTATGATACCCTTTCATATTTGCATTTTGTTTAGTTGCGTCCGTCAATGTTATTTCATTAAGGGCACACACATTCTTTTACTTTTGGACCATACTCCACTTTTTATGGAAGTACACAAAAGTGTCACATTGAAAGTTCCATGATAACTGCCATATAAATGTTGAATTCTTGAATTTAATTTGTTTGTCATTTAAGCCAGACAAAAGCATATTAATAGAGACAAGTTAATTTTAATTTATAAACAAAAGTTATTGTACATCATACTGTACAATTTTATAACAAACAGAAATCAATGTACATAATACATACATAAGGTCTGCATCAGATTAACTTTTAAGTTAAAATGTATATTATAAGAAATGAATCTTAGTACCTGTAGGCATATCAGATAATCTTAAAACATGATAGATGTTGGAACTATAGTGGTGGCACACCTCTGAATGATGCATGAGGCGTTATTGTACACACTTCCAATAATCTTAAAACTACTTCCATTACTCAGACATTTTGAATGTGGCAGATTTGAAACACTTGGAAAAGTTCTTAGAATGTAGTAAAATGCACTGCCTGTGGCTGTATTGCATTTGAAGTACATTGTGAAAAAGTCAATAATAATTTGTAAAGTACAATGTGGTATAGAGTCAGTTTTTAACTTTGTATGTGAGATATTTTCTAAGAATAAGTTGTCACTTTCATTATTTCCAGAATAATTGTACATTATAGCCAATTATCATTATCATAGGTTATTTTTTTGTCATTATTAAGTTGTTTTTCCGTTATTTTTGAGAAATGTCTGTGTTTTTAGGTCAGCTGAAATATTGTATAGTCAAGACTGACATAATTATTATATATGATAACTGTTTTAGCTGTTTTAGAGGATCTGAAACCCTTTTATATATTTAGAGATTGTAAGCTGTAATTTCTCACCCTATGATTATAAGAAGAGGCTTAAATATTATGAAAAGCTTCTTTCAATTTCAAATCCAATTGCAAATTTTCTTTTAATCATGCAGTTTTCCCCAAACATCTGAGCTAATTATATTTCCTAGATCAAATTTTTAGGATTTTTCTAATGAGTAGAAGATAGCTTTAATTACTTCCCAAATTAGCAATTTTAGAAAAAAATCTTTCCAAAATTTGGAGACCAACTGGCCTCTAAAGTACCAATTGACTGACAAAAACCACCAGAAATTCCGAAAAATCCTGGGTATGACCAAACAATCATTTATCTGTTCTGTGTATTTATACTGTTGTGTCCATGCATTAACGGAGGGCCGTCAAGTTGTGATTGTTATTGACATTTTAAATTGTTACCATTAATGTAACAAAAGTGATTTACTGGATATAATGTGCTAGAAATTAATATGATATAGAGAAATCATCATTAGCTAATTGTCATTCCTTTTGTTCCTGTAACAGTTTATTATCAGAGGGCTCTCTAATATACCATTCTACCATTCTCTAATAGTTATAGCATATTCTAGGAAGTAATTATCACTCATTATCAGTCATAATGAAAACAAACAGTGAGTTTCTTACACGCTAATTTGGTTTCCAATTTGTCAGCGAGCAGTAAAAGCTGGTAACTGATAAGCCTTGTACAAATGTTATGTAAAACTATAGACTTTTCTTAGAAAGGGGATCTATCCACAATGTGTATTAAGTCTTTAATTACTAACATGTGAGACTCAGAGCATTACATTTTTTTTATCATGGAAAACATCTGGTATAAGGGGCTGACTCTGGAAGAGAACTATTTTGTGTATTTGCATGTGTTTTTATTGAAGGGCTCATGTTCTTTCTGTACACAGATGTACAGGTATAAGTACTGTAATAAAATTTGTCATCACTTTGAGACTACAGAGAAATTATGCCTGCTTTAACCTTGCTAGAACTTCTCTAGAAGGTAAATGTTAATAATTTGTACAGCAGTTTTATTGCTGGTTCATACATGTAATAAAAAAAACATCACTCAGTTTAACCTGCAAAAATGTAAGATTATGTGTTTCTCACCATGCTTAATTTCTTAAATGGACTTGGTCTATCTTTCAATCTCAACAAAACTTTTCATCATTTATTTGGGGCAAATTTTAAAATGAATACTGACTGAATAGCGTGACAGTGTTGACATAATGATTGGATGGCAAGGAATTGCCAGCTGTCAACTTGGTCTTCACTGGTCACATGGTTTGGATTCAGTTGGCACCAGAATATAAGGGCTTAATTTATGCATGGAGGGGTACCCTGAGGTCTTCCTTCCTTCACCAGTAAAGCTGAAAAGTTGCCATATTTGATCTTGACGACCTAAAACCCAACAAAAATAAAGAAAATAAGATCTGATACAAAGTATAGCAATGTGACAGTAATTTCATTTATATAGTACGTGTGTGTATAAATATACATGTGTGTATACATGTATATAAAAAGAAATAGTTAAATGAAACAAAAAATAAAGCTTCTGAAAAGGAACAGATGTACATATCCAAGAGGAACCTTTACACATATGTTAAATTTTATGTTACATAAAAAGCTGAAGAAGAAAATAGATAAAAATCTTATTTTTTACACAAAAAGATTGCTTGTGAAGTAACAAAAAATCTGTAACAGTTGAGATTGACAGGGAAGATAATCTATCAAAGTTTGTATCATTAAAGCAATTTAAATCATCCCAAAGCATTTTTATCTTGTTTTAAACTTTACGTTTTCAATTAAAACTGTTCAGCCTGTGTTTGATGGAGCTGCATTTTGTTGCTGATGAAATAAAAGATGTCAGTTAAAATGTCTGAATGTATTTTAAACTGTCTACAGCTATCTGATGTAGAAAATTGAATCAGAAATAGGAGTTCTAAGGCATAGAAGAGTTCTAAGGCATAGAAATATATTTTCTGACTTCTGGATTAATGTTCAAACATTTCTTTATGACTACAGAGTTAATCTTGAATCATTGTCCATTATCTGATTTTCATGGATGATAATTTTGTAAATTTACAATAGGGAATCTTAAGATTAAGGGTGGGGGAGGGGGAGGGGGAGTTTAATGGTTTAGGGGTGGGGCCGAGTTACCAGATGAACTGGGAAATCTCTTTTCAGCTGTTACAGTAACAGTAACTTACATGTAAAGAGCAATCCAAACATTTCATTAAGGGGGTGGAGGGATTTAAAAAAGTCATTTTTCTGAAAAATCAAATAAATTTTCTTCTGTGCATTCATTAAAGTCAGTGTTTAAAAAACTCTTTGTCTCAGCTTCATATTGTAGCAGGTGAGCTCCTGGAATCTTCACTATCAGAATCCATATATATAATTACATTTAGACCTGAGGCTAATTGTTTCAAAGTGGGTATATAGAAATACATTGTAAAGTAAGAGTAATTTTCTGGCTTTACAGCTGCTGGATATTCCTGAAGTATTTGCAATAGCTGTCTGTAATTCAAGTAATTAAGATAAGCAATTAAATATGACTCTATATAAAATCATGTCTGAGTAATTTACCACTTTCTATCCCATCTTTCAAGAGGGTCCTTATACTCATAACTCTCAAGTAGATAAAGGATTGTTCAATTAAGTTAGACAATACTTTCAGTACTTTGATTGTTTGAAGTGTTAATCCATAATAATAGTACTTTCACTAGTAGATAATATTCTGATTTGATTAAGTAATGTCAGTAATGAAAACTTATCTATAGAAAGAGAAAGGTTTTTTTCATCTGTAATTTCCTTAAAATCATCTCAAGACTCATGTGCATGTATAGATTTAATTCAAGTTTGCTGAACATTGAAAATATCTCACATCACAGGCAGACATGTGAGCAACTATACTAAGACTGAAATTAGTGCTTTCTCAATATCATTAGAAATTTATAGTAAAAAAATGAAATTTTGAACAGTTTGGCCAAACATTTATTCTTGACCAAATATTGTAGATTGAACAGTTTTTTCTTCAGCTGTTCATGTCTTTGAAATTTTAGAGTCACTCAGCACTGCTGCCATACAGGAAGTAAAATATTATCTTGACTGGTGTTATGAAAGATGCTTGCCTGGTAATTTCTTCAAAAGTTACGGCTGGTGTATAATAATATGTACCAGCCAGAAATGAATGTATAATAACAAAATTTCATAATTATAGACATAAAGCCAACAAACATTGTACTAGCCTAGCTGGAGAAATTAATTCCTGGTGATTATGAAACCCTTATAGAGAGTATCTTAATTTGAGTTATTTTCAATAGTTTCTTTAACCATAGAATTAAGGAAAAAAATCTGTTCTAGCTGTTGTATTTAGTAAGTAACCTTTGTTATTTTTGACAGTATGTTATTTTTGACAGTAGATAAAGAGGTGATTTATTACCATGGTGGCATATTTCTGCCACATTGTTGTCTGAGAATTTCTTGTATTGATCCTCAACCTTTGCTCTGTTGTTCTTAGATATTAGTAAATTTGGTCTGAATTATGGTCAGTAATAAAAGAATTGTTGTGAGGCCTAAGTGTAGGTTCATAAGGTCTGTTTAAATAAATGATATTGGAAAAGTTTTTGCATGATTATTGTTTCTCAGACATTTGAAACTTGATAAAGGAATTTCACCTTTCAGCATTTCCTGTAGTTTATACTTTAATATTATTTGTAACAAAGTTGCTAATGTACAAAACGTAAAGCTAATATTTGGCTGAAAATTGTGTTGGCATTTCAGGTATTCAGTTAACTGTTATTAAGTGTTTGAAAAAATGCAGGTTGTACCTGTTATAAGATTGGCCTCACAAAGGCACTTGTGGGTGGCATCCATTTTCTACATGCATGGAGGGATATAAGCATCAGACAAAGAACCCCATACATGAACCAGGTCTTGTTGAAGGTCAAAGTCACTTTTAAAGATCAGGACAATTCTAATAATAATAATGTCCAAAGGTTTAAACATTTATATGTTTTGAGGGATTTTCATGTAACTTAACACAAATGTCCACCATTGTGAAGTGGAGTATTGCATGCAAATTCCATGTCCCTAAAAATTAGCCAAGGTCACAGTAACAGATCTAAGGTCAGATAAAATATGAAAATGTGTGTTACTACATATATATTTAAAAAATGTTCAAAATCATAAAACTGAGTCTTGCCAGCACAATCAAGGTCAATATATGCAAGGTCAAGGTCACCAGAGATGATAATGATTTTATTAGGAGCATTTAGTTCATGCATGAATAGAGTTTAGGTAAATTAAAAAAAAATGTGTTTACTATTATAAAACAGAGTATTTGTGACAGATGTTTTTTGTGGAAGAGGCACACTAAGTTTTGATTGTTTGTTTGCCTGAGACAATAAGGAATTAAGTAGAATGATACTCTAAAGAGTAGTACTTCCCTTGAAACTCAGTGAGCTGCCTCAGTATTTTATAATTACTTTTCTAATAATAATTCTGATGATATATATTATGATAGTGTAATTATGATGAATAATTTCATTTGCTGCCAACAGTGTAGATCTTTAACCTCAGCATTTCTGATAAAAGAGTATACCAGTATTATAGCATATATAACAGCTAGATATAGGTAAAAAAAGTTCACGGCATGGAATACAGACTGGTTTATGTAAAATCCACCCTGGTATAAATGTATTTTGTCTGTAGGTTTGTATACAGTGTATTTGAGTAGGGTAATATTAATGATTATCAGTTTAATAGCTGGTCCAGATCAGGCTTATCTTTCTAATGATGTCTGGAAAAGAATAAAAATGGAACTAAGTAATATAATCACTGTGTGTAACTGTTCACACTGACTTGCCGGTTTTTGATCAGACTTAAAGTTTTCATTTAACCCATAAACTACTTGAAATGAAAACAGGATATTTGCATGTTTGTTTGAATGAGTTAAAGATTATGTATTATATAGTCATGTATCATAATGAAAAGAGAGAAAATTGCAATATTTTATTGAGCGCATGTCTCAAGTAAAAAAGTGGAAATGGGTATTTTCTCACTTCCATGTGAGGTCTAAGCATATTCATGAAAAAACAAACTCATTTCTTTTCATCTTAATTATGCATAATGAAGAATAGAAAAACACACTGCCAATTCTTAATCTGTTTTAATTTAGTTTATACATGTACTAATTTGTTTTAATTGATTGTGTTGGAAGCTATAAACTTACATGTATTGAATCTTATCCTTGAACCAACCTGAGTAGTAAGCAAGAGTGTAAAGAAAACATTAGGACCTGCACTCCATTGTTTCCATCGAAGTGCTGAAAAAACAATGTTTAGGCCTCATCCCCCATCTCCAATAAGTCTTGTTACATATTATTGTTTTATTTATATCTAAACATTTAGACTTTGATATCATGATGATGTAATAAAGGCTTCTTAAAGCTTTCAAATCATACGTTTCTATGAACTTCCATTTTGTTTCTTTAATTTTTAAATTGTATACAGCATTATGGTGCAATGGTGCAGACTGAACGTAGATGTTTCATATTCAACAGGGTGATAATTCTTTATGCCATTTCTCAAAGGCTTATAAATATAAACTCAAATATATATTTTTTTGTGTTTCTAACTGTCTAATGCTACAGTGCTTTTAGGCCTCTAACTGTTTGTTTATATCACTTTCATGGATAGAGTAGATAAATAATCTGAGAAAACTGCAGAAAAACCTCTTGAAATGTAAGTGCTGTATGGAATATAGTGTTCAGAAGGCATGTGAAATTCCCTCTATGTTTATCAGAAGTAAGTGCAGTGTGATCAAGGAAGACATTTTACCACCAAGCTTCATTAATTTTGCAATAAACTGGTGCTTAAAATGTTACATCATGTATTTTAGGAGGTTTTTTGTAATTTTCTTGAAGATGCTAGTTGTCTTGGAATGATGTATATAATTGTTTTACGATGTGAAATGATTTTAAAGTATGGTAAAAATAGTGAGATTTCTGTAGGTGAACCCCTGTTTGTGTGTAGACTTGTAGTTGTTCCACTAGTATAAAATAATAATATAACAGTCTAGAAACTGAGGCCAGTCTTCAAAGTGCAATCCAATGTAGTCTTATGAGATTTTCCCCCCAGTGGCTTCTGCTTTTTGGGGTCATTCTATGACATTAGACAGTATGTAGAATTTCTGTGATTTTTTCAAGAAGGGCAAGAAAACAGTGCACACCATTAATTCAATGGTATGGATGATCTTGGTCTGCATTGGTTGCAATAAGGGTTAATCTGCAGGCATAAGAATATTCATGGGTCAAGTGTGTTAAAAATCCTTATAATTATGAATTCATTTTTAATATAATTTTTATATATGTAGAAAAATAATGATAAAAATCTATTGAAATATATTATCAGCTGTAGTGGCAAAAATATCATAACCATTATGTCATGTTCACCAAGACACTACAGGGATATTTTTGGCTCATTTTATAGCCATTATTGGGTCATTATTCCCAATTGAAAATATTACATGTACATTGTGTATATTATTTTCCCAATCCACAGGAAAATATTCCCAATTGAAAGTTACAAAATAAAAATATTGAATAAAGAATTCTAAAATCTTTCAAAATAAGAGCTTCATCACTCTAATAGTGCTTATGGCATCCAAGACAGTGATTGTTTGCATTCATTTAATCACTGCAAAATTTATGTCTTGCATTTTTTTCCCAATTTTTAACAAAGCATCACTGAAATTCCCATTTCCATGGGTATGGGTCATGTTCCCAAAATGCTGGAAAAAATCCCTGCACTAAATGAATAATTATTCCTGTTTATCAGAATGAAATGGAAGAGAGAGCAGTTGGGTTCTGGTATTTACAAATTAGCTCAGGAAGGCAGGAAATTAGTAACTTCAAAGTTTGACTCATCTGTATGAATTCCAGTCACAGCCATTCTTTGATTGAATGAGATATCTTTCAGCACTCGAATGTTGTTGTAAACTGGTTGTTTTTGTTTACAGGCGAGCATGAAAGAAAATCACAGCTGTTGATAAACTACATGTATATACATTGTACATGCTGTACATTTATATGTATAATTACTGTATCATTCTCCCCCAAAGTTATTTCAATTACTTTACTTTAAACCCCAATAGCCCTGTTGAACCATGAAGAGGTTAGCCTTTGTCGCCAGTTTGTCATTATACTAACAGGAGCAAGCTAGGCTAGCCTGCGCATCCGTGGAGTCTGACCAGGCTCTATGTATATTTTCATCTTTATAACCCAAAATTTATAAGAAATTCAGTGAGGAAAGAGTTGATGTTTTGAGTGTGATGTGCATTCAGGACTGGCTAAACTGCGCTGCCAGCAAAAAGGCTAATTAAATTAATTAAGTCAGTCCAGCCTGCACTTCTACAATATTCTTACAAAACAAAATGCCATGCTTTGAATTTGAAACAGCTCAAATTTAAGGCATTTCAGTAAAGGGTTGTTACAATATTAATTGTTCTTTTTTTTCCATTTCAGACAAGATGAGATGTAAGAAATTGAGGAAAAAGACAATTTTGTTACAATGACAGTGAGTTACCATGGAAACTGGATATTTGTCTGTCTGTCTTCCATGTTGTTATCAACAGTGGAGGCAGGAGATTTTACATGTAAGGTTTTCTCACATACAAAAATATATTGAGACTGTAATTTTTATATAATTATATGCAGTATAAAAATAGTTTTTATTTGTTTGTTAATTGGGTTTTATGTCACACCAACACAGTATAGGGCATAAAAATTATGCTCAAGTTTCAGCTTTACTATTGGAGGAAGACCTTGGTTGCCCTTCATTATTTCAGGCACAAATGCACACCTGAGAAGAACCACAGATGTTTCATTAGCTAGCTGGATAGCTTCCTCACATGAAAGAATCAAAAGTCCCAGTGTTATGGTTAAAACCCTTTCAAACCCATAGACCTAAAGGGCAAGTGGTTTGAAGTTAAAAACCTTAACTGCTCGGCCATGGATGCTCCATATATAATGATTGGTGCATGATTAATTTCATTATTTTGATTATGACTGGACAGTGTAAATAAGCCTGCTGGTGAGAACAAAGTCTACCAATGCTACCAGTGCCATACTGTATTAGCCAGAACATACATACCATTTATCATGATCTGCACTGTTTGCTATTCAGTCTATACCTATTTTGTAATTGTCCCCAAAATTTATGACTGGTTTTGCCCAGATTTTGAAAGATGGATAGTTTATTAAAGATATTTAGTGTGGTAAAGTTAATCTTCTTTAACATTTCATGGTACATTTATTATTCCATATTTGAGCTAATTAAGGAGCGTCCGTGGCTGAGTGGCTAAGACCGTTGACTTCAAACCACTTGCCTGAATCCCAATAGGGACTTTAATCTCGAAAAATTATTTCAACTCCCATCATGTCTGAGTCCCTTTAATGTATGTTTACTATTTCAGTGGGTATGGACAAACAATCGAGCTGCACAAATGAACACTATTACCAAGCTGGCGATATATTCCTTGCATCAGCGAGAGACAAGGTGCATGCTGGGCACTGCCCTTTGACCTTTCTTCAATTAAGAGCTGATGAGAGTGGTTACACAGAGCCGTGCCTCAGTCTGTGTGTGAAAATTGTCAGTTACAGTATGGAGAGTTGTTCTGTAAAAATGGCATACCATGATGGTGTCAAAGACTTCAGCCCTGTAGTAAGTTTGAGCTTTGAGCTTATATAATATGGAAGATTATATTTGGTCTTTTGTGACTATGTTGTTAGTTGTCATTTACATGTTTGTACTTAATGGAATTCAGTGACATTTACAGAATTAATGTAGGGAAATGTAGCAATAATGTAACTGAAAAACCATAACAATGGCCTGAAGCCAAAAGATACAAGCCTGAATATCAAGGCATTCTGGTTTTTATGCCCCCATAAAGTGGGGAGCATATAGTGTTGCACTTGTCTGTTTGTCCATCAGTCCGTACGTTTGTCTACGTCCCGAAATCTTGTGAACGCAACTCCTCTTAAACCGGATGGCAGATTTTGCTTAAACTTCCAATGATGAACAACCATAATGTGTAGATGGTGGTATAAGAAGGAATTTTAGCTGCGACCAAATTTAACAGAATTATTGCCCTTTGTTGATTTTTCACTATATCCTATGTAGAAATTTTGTGAAAGCAAATCCTCTTAAGCAGGATGGCAGTTTTTGCTTAAACTTCCAGGGATGAACAACCTTAATGTGTAGATGGTAGTGAAGGAAGGAATTTTTGTTTTAAGGGAATCTGAAGGAATTCTTGTTTTAAGAGAATCTAAGAGATTCCTGATTTTTAAGGGAATCCAGAATTTCAGGAAATCCCGGTTTTTAGATAATCCTGATTTGTAGAAAATCTTAAATTTCAAGAAATCCAGATTTTAATTGGTGTGGTTTTGTTCTATTGAATTAAATTAAATTACTGTAAGTCTTAAAACAGAGATAACAGGACTGGTGACTTACAAGGTCAAACCAACTCACCTTGAATGCAAATTTTGTCACGTTTTTTCTGCAAAACAAAATTTTTATAAGTGTGGCAATAACGAGGACATATCTTATGATTATTACACCTCTTGTTAGTAATTATTATTTATCTGGTTGTACTCACAATGGTAAAAATCGGGAAAGTTAAGATTAAATAATTCGCAACTGTCTTTTGGCAGTTTTTTTGTGAGAGTCTTCATAAGAATGACAATTTGTAATACGCTTTTGAAAAATACTTGAATTAGTAAAATTCACAATGTAAAAATAACCTTTTTTGATAAATGTTGTTTAAATGATTTTTAACATATTCTTTTGTAATTACATTGTTCATAGTTTAAACAGATTTTACAGAAAAAAACTACAATTACAATCTATTACGTAATTGTAAATCTGGCTTTTTAAACAATCTTCATTGATAATCTACCATCAGGCTGTCAGTAAAATATTATAACCAGATGTGTGGAAGGTTTTATCTCATGTATTGATATAACTAAGTGATATAAGCCTTTACCACCAGTATAGAGACAGGCCAGCTGGCTCATCCATGCAGTCTGACTAGGCTCTATACTGTTGGTAAACTAAACTCAACCTTTTTGTGTTTTGATATTTTGAATACTTTTAACTTCAAGTGGTCTGTTCCAAATTCAAAACTGGGTAAATCTATTATACAAATTAAGTAGGTTAAAGAATGAAGACTGTCAAAGTGCTATTTCTATCTTAAGATTATATAATGCCAGATATATTTTTGCAAAATTTATTCTCTGCACATTGTGATGATTATTTATAGGGAAGCCACTTAAAATTCATTATAAAAAAATCAAATTTTAGGTTTAATTACTGCTCATTGAGGCGTAACATTGCAGGAAGACATTGTTTTACAATTATATTGCCTCACATATAGATCATTATAATTACATTACTTTACGGTATTTTAGGAGAATTTGGGTAAAAAACACATCTTATTGCTGGTAAAACTAGATCGTGTATGATTTGAAACAAATTGAGATAAATATGATTGGAATTGCAGCAGACGCTAAAAAATTGTTTACAAGAGAAACTGAGAGAGGCTGTCAGATGATGAAATTTTTTCCAATGTGTTCTTAAATTCTAAATTTTGTTACTTCCTGCCAGAAAGTATAGTTATGTTTTCCTACATATTAGGATATTAAGAGGTGTCACTGGCCACATGGGTAGTGTCATTGAATTCAAAGTACTTACCCCTTACTGCTTTAGGTTCAAATCCCGATGGGGACTTTGGATTCTTTAGGTTAGATTTATTGGTCTGTGCATTATAAATGTTTTAAAATGGGAGTAATAAACAGAAATGCAAACAAAAGAAAATTCTTAATTGCTGCATTTCTTTGAGTGAGAGACAACACAATATGTGTGAGAAATTTTCACATCACTTCATTATCTATGGTTTGTTGACATGAAGTATATCTATGAACCAGCTATCTTTGAATTTTTAAACTTTTTCAAGGTCAAGGTGACAGAGTCTAAAAAATAGAGTTCACTACTTTCATACTTGTTTTACATAACAATTTCCTTAAATTACATGCAACTAGATTGTCATAAGAAAAAATAATTCTTTCAGTAGTAAGGTCAAGGTCACATTTAATTTGCAGAGGTCAAAGGCGGGGTTAGCCAGACAATTTTGCATCAAGGTATGTACACATTGGTAACTTTAAATTCTCATGTTAAAAAAAGTCGTATAATTGAATAATATGAAGTTTACCTTGTTAATATCTTTCAGACATTTGACTGCCGCACATTTCCACCAGTGCTATGGTGCTCCAGTAAGAATGATTTAAAGGTGACAGTCACAGAGATGAAAGATTATCAGATGGAGGATGATAAGGGTTACAAAATCTCGTTAGAAATAAAACCATTCTGTGGAACTTTGGAACAGTTAACAACAGGTATACATGTATTTGCATGACAGTCAGTTCCCTTAAATTTCTAGGTATGTTTGAACTTGTTTTACGAAAAATATAATTATAAGATAAGTGATTAAGGTCAGGCTGACTGCACAGCTTTTAATGATATTTCTTTTTGTGCAAGTCCTGCATTTTCTCAAGAGTTTTCTATGATTGCCATTAAGCACCCTGGTGATCACGGTATATATACAAGTCTACTTCCTGTTATTGCAAGAAAGGTTCAAGTTGAATTATAGAGGCTACCAAGAAGGGAGTAAAATGTGCTTGTAACTGCAAGACAGTGTACACATTGAATTGTATAGGCTCACAAGACTGGGTACACATTGAATTGTATAGGCTGGCAAGACAGGGTACACATTGAATTGTACATGCTCACAAGACAGGGTACACATTGAATTGTACAGGCTCACAAGACAGGGTACACATTGAATTGTACAGGCTCACAAGACAGGGTACACATTGAATTGTATAGGCTCGCAAGACAGGGTACACATTGAATTGTACATGCTCACAAGACAGGGTACACTTTGAATTGTACATGCTCACAAGACAGGGTACACATTGAATTGTACGTGCTCACAAAACAGGGTACACATTGAATTGTACACGCTCACAAGACAGGGTACACATTGAATTGTACGTGCTCACAAGACAGGGTACACATTGAATTGTACATGCTCACAAGACAGGGTACACTTTGAATTGTACATGCTCACAAGACAGGGTACACATTGAATTGTACATGCTCACAAGACAGGGGTACACATTGAATTGTACATGCTCACAAGACAGGGTACACATTGAATTGTACAGGCTCACAAGACAGGGTACACATTGAATTGTACAGGCTCACAAGACAGGGTACACATTGAATTGTATAGGCTCACAAGACAGGGTACACATTGAATTGTATAGGCTCACAAGACAGGGTACACATTGAATTGTACAGGCTTACAAGACAGGGTACACATTGAATTGTACAGGCTTACAAGACAGGGTACACATTGAATTGTACAGGCTTACAAGACAGTGTACAGTGATTCGGTTTATATACTATGGAGTCGATAACATACGGAATTCAATTTAAGCAGATTTATGGCGTTTTTGGCACACTTTTTCACACACAGGATTTTGTTTGAAAACAGGTTATATGACCCAGTAAAAACAGTACTGTTGAAAGCTTACATGACCAAAGCCCCTATGTGTGGGTTATATAGAAAACAAGCTTTTGAACAAGGACATATAACCTGTCAATAACCCAAGTAACAAATTTAATAGAGGTGGCTGGGCATTTTGTCACTCCTGGGGCAGTCCTTTAGTTTATTGTAGACCTATGTTGCAACAATTAAAAAAAAGAGCATATTAGATCTACAATGTATGAATATCGTATGAAATATAAAATGATAGTGGTATTTAAGCATCACCGCAGTGGGCATTACAAAGTGTGGTTGAAAATCTGGGGTTTGTAAAATCTCTAGTTCTCCCAACAGAAAAGCCTTATAGTTACACACAAAGATCTGATTACTGAAATGAAGTACAATAACACTAAATTTTGACTTAAGATTTAAATAGGTCAAATCTGTGATGCTTGCGTAAGTATTTCCCTGTAAGGTCAATTCATCATGACGAGGTTATCAGTTTCTGTTACGTTACTTATCAGTGTATTAGTACGTCATTATTACCTAGATAAATAATTTATTTTGTCTTAGGGCAAATATTTCAGTGCTTGTACATGAAGTGTCAATGTTCTGGTGTCCTAAAAATAAGGTTAAATTTCCCTGTTTTTTGTTGCTTTAAATTTTCATGTATAAAGAAATTCAATACTTATGGTCATATAATATTGAAATGATGTATTGGTAGGCAGTAAAATGTGGGGGCTTTAAATGTGGTAAAATTTGATTTAAAACTAAGATAAGCAGGGAACATACCATTTCTTATCTTCAAGTTCATTTTCAATAAGAGTTATATATTCAGAGTACAATATTAAAGGTCACTAGCCCTTTTACAATGTATTTGCCAACCAGAATAAAAAACTTTTTTATTGGTAAAACAACTCTCAGAAACAAAAAGATAAGTAACAAATATTTCATTTTCATGTTTGACACACAGTGCTCATTTTCAAACCAGATTTACTTAAATGTTATTATATAAAACAAGAAAAAGGCAAAGGCTGTTTTTAGAAATGCAAGTTTGTATTGGAAATTCATTAGTACCAAATGACTGTAATGTATAATTGTCATATCTTTACGTGACTGATTCTGTTAATGTTTAAGACTTATTTCATGACTGTTATTGTTACAAATGTTTCACACTCCTTAATCCTTTGAAAACAGAAATAATTCCATTGAGGGAGTTTCAGTTTAATTTATTCATCATTTCACATTTAGCATCGAAGTATTTTGCAGGACTACTTTGAGGGAAGTCGTAATGTAATATGACAATTGACATTCAAAACTGAACTCACATCGATTGTTTCTCTAGATTAACTGTAGCTATCACCAGTTGGCATTTCTTATTACTTTTTAAAGATAATTTTACATGTTGTTAATGGTATAAAAGCCTGTGTAAATGGAATAATAACCTGTGTAAATGGTATAATAGCCTGTGCAAATCATATATAGCCTGTGTCAATGGTATAACACCATGGGTAAATGGTAAAACAGCCTGTGTAAATGAAATAACAGCCTGTGTAAATGGTATAACAGCCTGTGTAAATGGTATAACAGCCTTTGTGAATGGTTAAACAGCCTGTGTAAATGGAATAACAGCCTGTGTAAATGGTATAACAGCCTGTGTTAATTGTATAACAGCCTGTGTAAATGGTATAACAGCCTGTGTAAATGGTATAACAGCCTGTGTAAATGGTATAACAGCCTGTGTTAATGGTATACAGTCTGTGTAAATGGTATAACAACCTGTGTAAATGGTATAACAGCCTGTGTAAATGGTATAACAGCCTGTGTAAATGGTATAACAGCCCGTGTTAATGTTATAACAGTCTGTCTTACTGGTAGAGCCTTTGTGTCAGATACAACAACCTTTGTCGCTGATATAAGAACCTTTATAACAGATGTAACAGCCTTTCTAATTAGTACACTTTGTATAAAAGCATTTGCCTCTGTTATATCAGCCTTTATCCTCGCCCATATGGTTTATTCTGGTGGCGATGGTAAATAAACTAAATACACACACATATCAGCCTTTGTAAATAACATAACAGCCTTTGCCACCTGTACAAAGCTAGAACAATGTGCACTTGAGTGCAATCTGATCAGGCTGTAAACTGATAGCATTTCAGTTTAAGTATTTTTGTATTAAACCAAATTAACAATGGACAGTTATAAAAGTGAAGTGTCCATTTCTGTTACATGAACTTAATTGCATGTTAAGGTTTTCAAACAGACTCTCATTACATAACTTGCTGTGTTACTTCTGTCAAAAGATGGATTTCCAAACATAAGAAGTGAAGTTATAGACATGACAGTTTTGTTATCATGAAATAGGTCATTCTTGCGTCATGTTTGCATTAAACTTGGTCAAGTTACACACAACATAAGGGAATGACTTGCTTATCTGACAAGAGTTCAAAATTGGTGCGATCATCATAAGATAGCTTGAGGTTGTAGCTTGGAAAAAGTTGTTTTAAAGTACATCGTTGGAATCCCATGGCACTTATTCAGCCAAGATTACCAAGGATGGGAACCGTAAAATGTTCATGTTCATTTTCAAAATTGTCCCTGCCCCTGGGTTCACGTGGTTTCCTTGTAATATGTATTGAACATAATTACTGAAAAACTTATTGAAATTACTCAGGCTTTACCTCTTGACTTAATATAGTATAATACAAGTAAATTGGTATACTCAAACCTGGTACTTTTGATGTATCTTTTATGTACATATTACCAAAAAATTTTAAATGCTCAGTCTAAAGAATGTTGAACTTTAACATCTTTGTTTAACTGGGTCAAAGATGTTTAAGTTCAACATTCTCAAGACAGAGCATTACATATAATATTTGTTATGGTTACAAGTTTGCTTGCTTTACAAATTTTGGCATTATGCAAATATAACATCCTGGTAAAGTATGTAGTCATATAGATAGATGTATAACAGCATTACAGGCTACACATGATCATCATAATACGACAATGTGTTGCCTGCATGACTCAAATGTCAGAGTGACAGCAAGGATTTGCCATTAAGTCTAAAGTTTAACTTGCATTGTTTTTGAAATAGAAATTCCTTATTTTTATTTTCAGATTCAAGCATTGTATCAAAACCACAGTCAAAACCAAACACTATTAGTCAGACAGCTGTAGTGATTGGTGCGATTGTAGGAACAATATCTATATTGTTTGTTCTTGGCTGGATCATGTACTGTTACAAAAAAAGAAATGGGTCGGACTCGGAACACACCTCGAGTAGACCTGAGAGAAATGTTAGAGGATCAACACCAAATCAGCCAGGTTAGTGATGTCCTTATTTGATAACCTTTCTATGTATTGACGCACAGATCAGGTTTGGGGTGTCAATGGACAAGTGGTTAAGGTCGTTTTATGAATTGAAGCAACAGATCAGGTTTGGGGCGTCCATGGACGAGTGGTTAAGGTCGTTCTATGAATTGAAGAACAGATCAGGTTTGGGGCGTCCATTTGCGAGTTGTTAAGGTCGTTCTATGAATTGAAGAACAGATCAGGTTTGGGGCGTCCATGGGCGAGTTGTTAAGGTCGTTCTATGAATTGAAGAACAGATCAGGTTTGGGGCGTCCATGGGCGAGTGGTTAAGGTCGTTCTATGGATTGAAGAACAGATCAGGTTTGGGGCGTCCATGGGCGAGTGGTTAAGGTTGTTCTATGAATTGAAGAACAGATCAGGTTTGGGGCATCCATGGGCGAGTGGTTAAGGTTGTTCTATGAATTGAAGCACAGTTCAGGTTTGGGGTGTCCTTGGGCGAGTGTTTAAAGTAGTTGACTTCAAACCACTTGCCCCTCATCGCTGTGGGTTCAAATCTAGACTGGGACTTTGGATACTTTCATGTATGGAAGCTGTCCATTTAACTTATGGAAAGTAGGTGGTTCTACTCAGGAGCCCATTCGTGCCTGAAATAATGCACAGAAGGGCACCCAAGGTCTTCCTCCACCAGTAACTGGAATGTCGCTATATGATCTATACTGTGTCGATGTGATGTAAAACCCAATCAAACAAACAGATCAGGTTTACAGCTACACATTCAAAGATTGGTAACGTTTCTCTAAATAAACATGATATTTGTTTTGTAATGGAAAGTTGTAATTACCATGTCAGTCAATCTAAAGTGAGACTGATATCCTGTTGTTTATTTACTATTGTGATGAAGTTTGTCGAACTTATGCAAACTATTAATTTATGAAGTACCTGTCAACAACTAAGGTGTCAAGTATTTAATATAATGTAGTTCTCTCGCTTAAACCAATAGTATGTTTTGTAATGCAATGCAAAACATACATATGATGGAGACTTATGTTGTATTAATATTGTGGCTCTAGTTTCATATGTTATTTTTCCCCTTTATTTCAGTTAACAGATATGCACCAATAGAGAGAAACCCTCCTTCTAGTCAGTCGAGCTCAGACAAGGGTCCAAAGTTTCGTCCAAATCTTGACCGTAACCAACCGGATCTCATCAGTAACACTGACAGACGGCTATATTCTCCTTTCCAGCCACCTCAGCCAAATCAATATTCGGGTCAAGGTCAGATACAACAAAAAGTTCTATATTCTGACATAGATAGAGGACCGCAACCGGGTGATAAATGGTACCCGATGTCAAACCTCGGACCTACCGGTCCTGAAGTGAACCAGGTACCAGGGTTTAAGTCACCGACGCCATCCAATCAAATGTCTCAGTATATGATGCAGAATCAAGTGTATAAATACCCAACTGACGGGGAGATGCATACAGTTCCAACAGATACAAGGTCAGCTTTAAACATAGCATCTTACAGTATTGAATAATTGATATAGTTTAGTTTATACTCATTTATTTAATTTGATTGTGTTTGGAGTTATAATTAGCTTATTGAAACACTGTGGAATCTGTTCCTCGAATAAGCCAGTACTGAGCAATGAGTGTAAAATTTCTTGCTGACAGAAACAACAGTTGCCTGACAGGGTTTGAACCCAAATGGCTAGCATTCTTTAGATTACTAGTCTGACATGTTAACCACTTGGTTATGGTCACTCACAGGAATGATATAAATTCATGATCACAAGTAAATCTGCTTAATCTGCACAATAGAGGAGATAACAGACTTGTCATTGAGGTGTTGCTAGTCTGACCCTCATGTGAGGTGAAATTTCTTTCTGCAAATTTATCTCTGACATTGAGTCTGATGGTCATTTTTGCCTGTTCTGTTCTTAATGCAGGATTAGTAGTCTGTTGCTTGCAGAGAAATTGGTAATCACTGGTTAGCACTCCAGGACAGCTGTTTAGGCAGACTTACTGCTGTGATATGACCAAAACGTGTAAAAATTGGCATATTAATAAGATAAAAAAAAATGATCTGTTGACGTTTGATTTTATATCTTAAAACTCACACATAACCAGTAACCTGCTGAATTTAATTAATGGATTTGCCCAGCTGTTAATTTGGCACAGTCCATTCCAAGTTAAAGGGATTTCAGTATCAAAATAGACAACAATTTTTTATGAATTAATTAGTTGTGAACAGCCACTTTTATTTTTCACTTTAACAATATTCTTATTAATAAGTTGATATTTACATGTAGTACTTTTAGTTAAAAAAGAAAGGAACATAAGGGGAAAAAAACGGAACTTACAGTAATTTATCACTGGTACATGACTTCAGTACTGTCTGCAACTATTATTTTTATCCATACTTTCTACGATATTTGAAATTTGAAAATACTTTTATATTTTTTATTAACAATGGCCTCATTTATTGAATGTATATAATTATGTAAATGTTTATGTGTTTATTAACATTTATGAATCTTTAACTTTGTCTTATTTTTTTATTTTAATTTTTCTTAATGAATTTTCAGATATGTTGTTTATGACTTTGACTTTGAAGCAAAACCAATGGAAAGGAAATATTCTGCAGGGAAAACCCTTAATACTCCCTATCGCCAGTCCCCAATAAAAGATATAGATAGATCCAGACCAAGGGAGATCACTCCATTAAGAGAGACTGTTAGAGTGATGCCACCCATGAGTTCTCTCCCTTTAGACTCTACAACAACAGATCACACTAGCGATAATGAGTCATCTATGTCCGGTACGGAGGAGGACAGCACCACAGATGATCAAACCCATCCAGTCAGGTATCAGTATGCACCAGGGTTTAATTTCAACAACCCTCCAGCCGTGAGACCAAATATTTCAAATACTAGATTGTATGATCCAAGAAACTTCCAGCGGATAGATAATAATCCCGTTCCTGGTGCCGCTAATCAAAGTGATAAGTCTCGCCTGAATGCTCAAAACAGTTTAAGTGAAAGTTTTAGTGGTAGGAATGATTCTCAAGTGTTCAGATCGCTGCAAAACAGTGACGGTTCTCCTCAGCAGAATTCAGAAGGCCCTGTTCCGCAGGTGCCACCAATGCCAAAAGAGTTTCAACGGACACAGAGAACGTCGCCTTCAAAAGAACTGCCATGGCCCCATAGTCCGCCACCGCCATACAGTGAAGATAATAGATTTGTTGTGTAGTCGTTGTATTACTAGTGCCTCTTTTATTGGATGCCTTTTAAATAAATTATACTATGTCTTGAAGGGGTGATTGCTCACTTTAGATAAATTTATAACAAAGTTTGTGTATTTTGTAAGATGAGGGATTTGGAGATTTTATGCTAAAGGAGAAGGCAAGTGAATGCCATTGAAGATTAAATTCAGTTCTGATATTTCACTGAAGATACATGTAAAATGAATATGTTGAGATAGTTAGACATTGAATACTTTTTAATCATTACCAAGCTACATAAATTTGTATAAAAGACTTGTCCTATATGGAATTTACTTGTCCTTTTTCTATTTGCTAATCTCGTCTTGTATGGAATTTAGTAAGAATAAGTAGTAATTTTAGTAGCATTTTTTTGTCTGGACTGACCATGATTTGCACTGTTTAGCTATTCAGTCAGTACATTTATTGAAAATTTGCCCTATTAATGATGAAAGGTTTTGTCCAGATGGACAAGTCTATTCTATAATATAGTTAATTTGGTAAGGGTTAAAAAGGATGTTTTCATGACAAGTTAATTTTAGCAGCATAATTTGAATATAGTTTAGAACAGACTAACTTACATAAATTCCCTCGAGGGTGTAATATAGTTCTCTCAAGGGTGTAAAATACATCTTGTACCCTCGATGGGCGTATATAATTATCTAGTACCCTCGATGGGTGTATATAATTATCTAGTACCCTCGATGGGTGTATATAATTGATGGTAATTCTTTTGGCATTAAACTAAGTGTCTACTTTCAGCAGACCTATGTATGAGACTGTTGTGATTATGATTTTTATAAACCGTAGATTTTGTAATTCTTATAATGATAGAATGTTTCGATAGATCGATGCGAAATGGACGTAACTCCTTCATTATTTAATATGAGTTACAGCTGTTTTGCACCGAACCCTCACTTTGTGATGAGGTTAGAGATTTTCTTTTGTGCTCACAAGGTTTGTTTGAAGTCTCATGATTTTCATTCAGTGGGACATTTACCATTGTGTGATCATTGTATATGTATGTTATTGCATACTTTTCTGCAAGAATTTATATTATTTTACACAATATAATACTTCAACTGTAACTGACATACAGCAGGTATATTTTCATCTTCACCTTAAACTCTTCTGGATGAGCATAAATCTTCCTATAAATGGTTTTTGTCTTGAGCAAAATTAGTATTTATAACTTTGCTGATATAAGTTTTTTTCATTTTTATATATGATTGTTTTGAAATTAATATAAATACACTAGTCAAATTTTCTTCTTTAAATGTGTTAGATATTTCCCTTGATCATGCTGAAATTGAAAGAAATTCTTCCAGTTTTAAAAAGCGATGTTTCAATAAATGAAGTTAGTTCTTCAGGTTTACTTGGTATTGTTTCTACAAAATATATTCTTCCAGTTTAAAGGGCATTATTTCTACAAAATAAATCTTCCAAGCTATTATTCTACAAAATAAATCTTCGATTTTAAGGGGCATTCATTCTACAAAAGATTTTGTTCCAGTACAAAGGGCAATGTAAATAGTTAAAAAGATGTAAATTTTGACAAACTAAAATTTACAATAATTATAATTGATCAGTATTTAAACTAGTATACAAAAATCATAAGTTAAAGTTTATGTTTAGCTGTTATTATAAAATGCATATCTAAATTTAAAGCAACATGCCTTCAGATTCTTGCTAATTTTCATGAACATTTTGAAAAAATATATTTAAAAGTTAAATATTGTGAAGTGACCGAAGAAAGTAATTTACACATTGCAAACAACACTTTCATTTAAATAACCAAAAAGAGGTCATAATATGCAAAAATAGCCCTTATTGCATTAGTCATGCAGTAGAAATATAGTAATAAATAATGCAAAATAGAGTCATTTCTCACAGATAACAATTGTAAATTACTATCTTCAATCTTGAATTTTTTTCATTTCTTAAAATCTTAGAACATTTTTCTCATGTTTGATTTTCTTGAAATATTTTTTGCCTATCTGAATGCATGCAGCTTTAATAATTTTTATTTTTGACCTTTTTATGATGGAAAGTGACTGCAACATTAATGGCATGTTAACATATCTATTATACTTTGTACACATAAATTGTTAAATGGAAAGGGAAATAAAATGGAAAGTCCAGGGTTTGTAAACATTTGATGATGTCATCATGCTTGATGTTTGAAACAAGGTCAACTTTTAAGTTCTATATATATAGTGTAGTAACAGTTAAATCACTGAATAAACACTGAAACTTTTGAACAAAGTATATTATATATATATATATACTTTGTTCAATGTTTACAATGTTTGTGTGATTCAACTGTTACCACACTAAATATCTTGCACTAAACTGGTCAACCGTTCATCCTGGACTAAACCAATCCTCCTTTTTAGTGAGTATTTCCAAATAAGTTCTGACCGAAAAGTCAACAATGCAGACCATGATAAGAAGGTACGCATGTACTGGCTGATCTTGGTCCGCACTGGTTGCATTGGTAAATTTAGTCGCTGCCACAAGGCTAAGGGTTAAAACAAACAAAAACTGTTAACAGGTAGTCTAAAATGATACAGATTGTAAAGAAACCTTGGATGTCTATATACAGGCAAAATTTCAGTCAATAAATTGTAAAGGTTATTGAACCTGATGTAATTAGTCCCCTACCGGTTTACCGGAGGAGACTTTAGGTTTACCCTCCGTCCGTCTGTCCGTCCGTCAGTCCGTCCGTCCACAAAACTGGATCCCGCAATAACGCAAAAAGTACTGAAATTATTTTAATGAAACTTGATATATGGGTAGATGGCAGTATGAAGATTATGCACGTCTTTTTCTTTTCTTCCTATGTTGAAAATTCTGGTTGCTATGGCAACAAATAGACTGAAAATATGGAACATTTTACACATAACCTGGATCCCACGATAGCGCAAAATGTACTGAAAATATTTTTATGAAACTGGAGATATGAATCGATGGCAGTATGGAGATTATGCACGTCTTTTTGTTTTTTTCCTATGCTGAAAATTCTGGTTGCTATGGCAACAAATAGACTGAAAATATGGCAAATTTTACACATAACCTGGATACCGCAATAATGCAAGAAGTATTAAAAATATTTTTATGGAACTTGATATATGGATAGATGGCAGTATGGAGATTACGCATGTCTTTTTCTTTTTTTCCTATGCTGAAAATTCTGGTTGCTATAGCAACAAATAGACTGAAAATATGGCAAATTTTACACATAACCTGGATCCAGTGATATTGCAAAAGTACTGAAAATATTTTTATGAAACTTGACATATGGGTAGATGGCAGTCTGGAAATTATGCACATCCTTTTCTTATCTTCCTATGTTGAAAATTCTGGTTGCTATGGCAACAAATAGACTGAATTTCAAGATTTCTGATTCTAGTTTTTAAGTTTTTTCACTATAAGTTCTTTATTTCTTAAGGTATTTTCTTCAAACTTTAAATAAAAGTTGCTAGTCATCAACCACATCATATGTGACAAGGTTTACAACTCTAGCACAAAATTTATCAGAATTACCTCCCTTGAACTTTAAATTTTCATGAAAAAAATGTTGTTTTTTTAATAACTTCTTTTTATGCCCCCACAATGTGTAGATGGTAGTAAAGGAAGGAAGTTTCGCTGCGACCAAATTTAACAGAATTATGGCCCTTTGTTGATTTTTTCACTATATACTATTTAGAAATTTTGTGAACGCAACTTCTCTTAAACCGGATGGCAGATTTTGCTTAAACTTCCAGAGATGAACAACCTTAATGTGTAGATGGTAGTAAAGGAAGGAATTTTCGCTGCGACCAAATGTAACAGAATTATGGCCCTTTGTTGATTTTTACACTATATACTATGTAGAAATTTTGTGAACGCAACTCCTCTTAAACCGGATGGCAAATTTTGCATGAACTTCCAGGGATGAACAACCTTAATGTGTAGATGGTATAAAAGGAAGGAATTTTTGCTGCGACCAAATTTAACAGAATTATGGCCCTTTGTTGATTTTTTCACTATATACTATGTAGAAATTTTGTGAATGCAACTCCTCTTAAACCGGATGGCAGATTTTGCTTAAACTTCCTGGGATGAACAAAATTTATCAGAATTATGGCCCTTTGTTGATTTTAAGTTTTCAACTTGTGGCACATGTTAGTCCAAAAAATATTTGACCTAGAGTCATAAGATTGACAGAACAGTGGCGTGTGGGGGCATCCGTGTCCTATGGACACATTTCTAGTTTTCTGAATGTATCTACTTCAAACTTCATATCTATGTTTCTTATTATCACTCAACATTTGTGAAAAAGTTCAATACTCTAGCAGGACTATTTCCAGAATTATGCCCCTTTTGAACTTAGACTTTTTTTCGAGAAGTTGGTAATTTTTACTCCAACTTCTTCAATCATGATAGGATTTTCTTCAAACTCTCACATCATAATATTATGACAAGGTTTATAAATCTAGCATCCATATTTCCAGAATTATCTCCTCCTTAAACTTTCAATTTTTCTTATTCGTTCTTTTAACTTTTATTTACTTCAAATTCAAAATAAACATTCATTATTCATACCTTCATTACTAATTGTTCTTTGTTACACTCACATCATGTATGACATCTTGCATCTTTATTTCAAGAGTTATCTCCTTTTTAAAAATTTTGCTTTTAAAAATGTTATATTTTGATAACAGGGATGTTTAAAAAATAACTTTAGAGTGTCCTTCAGTCCGTCTGTCTGTCTGTACATAAAAACTGTTTCCTGTGATCACTTTTAAAGAACTTTTTCAACAAATTTACTTAAAATAGAAACATAAGTGAATGGCCAATGGCCCTTCAGAATGTTGCTGGGGTTCTTACAGGTAGGGGACTTATGGATTGCTTGCAATACTATGATAACTGCTTGTTTTTATACTTGAATCATTTGGTTAAGTCATGAACTGGTGTTCATAAATGTGTGGCAATTTTTATATTGGTTGTAATTATTTGTTTGGTAATTTTTTATTCTAATTTTTTTTATTAACTTTTTTTTTTTTTTTGCTATTGCAGGAATGTCTTGTTACTCTTGTGAAAAAGCTGATATTATTTTTATTTTTGTTTTATTTTTTGCTCATGTATCATTAATATTGCGATGATATTATTATATCATTTTATGAGAATTTTTTTTACTATTTTTAAAATATTTGTAACTACACAATGTATATGCTTATGTTTCTTTAAGACATTTTTAGCTCGACTTTTCTATGAAAAGGGGAGCTATCCTACTCGCCCCGGCGTCGGCGTTGGCGTCACACCTTGGTTAAGTTTTTCGTACCACCCCACTTTATTTCAGAAGTATTACAAGTATGGCTTTGAAACTTACCATACTTGTTCACCATCATAACCTCCATCTACAGACAAGAGTACATAACTCTGTCAAGGTTTTTGACAGAATTATGGCCCTTTTTTGACTTAGAAAGTGTATTGAGCTTGGTTAAGTTTTTTGTACCACCTCACTTTATTTCAAAACCATTGGAGGTATTGCTTTGAAACTGACCATACTTGTTTACCATCACGACCTTCATCAACAGACAAGAGGACATAACTCTGTCAAGGTTTTTG